GTGTTGTTTTGGTGATAGAAATATTGTTTTGTATGATAGGGTCAGTGGTTGTGGCTAGCTAAGTTTTATATTAAGACAAGTGATGACCGTCCTTTATCCCAACCCCCCTTTTTGGCCTTGTGCCACATTTGTTGTATTTTTTTACAATAATAAATATTGGTAACTGTATTAAGTTACAGTGACAGACAGTCCTTGACTGTCAGCGCCGTCTGTCGTACTCTCTGCATTAGCAGAGAAGAACCCGGACGAGGCTTTGCCGAAGGGCAAGGTTTCGTTCGGGGAGGTAGACAGGCCTTGAAACGGCCTAGGCGGGTTCGAAGGCTATATTTTTGGCCAAGCCTACGGTCTCAGAAGACCCACATTAAACTCGGCCTTGTGCCACATTCAATCCTCGTGGGGGGATGGATAAACAGCGGTAGCTGTATTAAGTTGAATAAAGCTTTTCTAAGTTTATTCGCTTCGGGTTATTCATTACAGACAGCAATTAAAAATATATTGTTCAATAAAATGAATATTGAAAAAAAAATATTTTTCCCAACAGATAAACTTATGGAACAATTTAAACTTTTATTTTCTTCTTGATAAACCTTTCTACTCGAGTTGCACTGGCTTCGTGGATCTTACACCATATAAACCCTTGTTATGTTTTTAATATCAAAATTTGTTTTTAATACACTTTAGTTCATAGAGAAACATTGGTCGGGGTTATACTTGATTTTACAAGCATCCACCCGGACAGTTTGTTTCTTTGCTTCTTGTGTATGAAGTGGATTACCGTTACATACAAGGCGGGCAACGTGGCTGAAGCATCAGCCGGATGAGAAAACCTAAAACGCAGAAATCAAACATAAAATTTGCTATCTGCGCATAGAAAATGACACCTCTCTTCCGGTTAAAATGACGCCCCTCTTCCGGTTAAAATGACGCCTCTCTTCCGGCTAAAATAAATAAAAAATTCATATAAATACTATTTCAATTTCTAACCAAATTCTGCCAGACGTTACTGAAATTTCCCCCTGCTGCACGTACCTCTGTCGATTTGGATCTCGTTAACTTGTCTCACCAGTTTGTACACTAAGTTATTTGTTCATTTATTGTTGTTTAGTATAAAACTGTTGAATTTAAAATCAATTAAATACGAAAATAAATGTGCTAAAGTAACAAAAAAATTAATTCAGTACAAAGGCATTGTATTTACATTGAAATTAAAATTAATTAAATACAAAAATAAATGAAATAAATATGAAAATAAATTAAAATCAATTAAATACGAAAATAAATGTGCTAAAGTAAGAATAAAATTAATTCAGTACAAAGGCATTGTATTTACATTGAAATTAAAATTAATTAAATACGAAAATAAATGAAATAAATATGAAAATAAATTAAAATCAATTAAATACGAAAATAAATGTGCTAAAGTAAGAATAAAATTAATTCAGTACAAAGGCATTGTATTTACATTGAAATTAAAATTAATTAAATACGAAAATAAATGAAATAAATATGAAAATAAATTAAAATCAATTAAATACGAAAATAAATGTGCTAAAAAAAGAATAAAATTAATTCAGTACAAAGGCATTGTATTTACATTGAAATTAAAATTAATTAAATACGAAAATAAATGAAATAAATATGAAAATAAATTAAAATCAATTAAATACGAAAATAAATGTGCTAAAGTAAGAATAAAATTAATTCAGTACAAAGGCATTGTATTTACATTGAAATTAAAATTAATTAAATACGAAAATAAATGAAATAAATATGAAAATAAATTAAAATCAATTAAATACGAAAATAAATGTGCTAAAAGTAAGAATAAAATTAATTCAGTACAAAGGCATTGTATTTACATTGAAATTAAAATTAATTAAATACGAAAATAAATGAAATAAATATGAAAATAAATTAAAATCAATTAAATACGAAAATAAATGTGCTAAAGTAAGAATAAAATTAATTCAGTACAAAGGCTATAGTGGGTTAGCCAATCTATATTGGCTATAAATAAAAATAAAACTGACTCTCTATTATTTTATTTATATTAAATGTAACAAAGACAACAACAAGAGAAATAATCAAGTAGAAGAATTTGTTCAAATATGATGCTAAAGTTGTTAAAACACTTTAGAGTTCTTGATTGTGTGTTATATTGAAAGAACTTAAGTTGCTGATCTGTATGTATGAAAGTGAGAAGGTGTGCTTAAGTATCTTTGTCGTTGTAGGAAAATGAAACAGTTGTTTTTTTGTAATAAATTTTAAAAAATGTATTGTTCTTGACTCACTGTGATTTCTACAGAGTTGTCGTTCTTTTACCGGAGATGTTTGTTGTGGAATAAAATATTTTGTTGGAGTGAACGTTCTTTCGCAAGCTGAATTTATGTTAATTTAAGTAATTAACGTAAAACCTGGAATTGGTGACAAGATTCGTTATCGCGTTGAAGAATTTGGTTTGTCTCCTGTCAAGTGAATGAGTTGAATATTTTAAGGGCCCACTTTAAATTGGTGAACCCGACTTGATCTTTCTTGCATTAAAAATTGCGTTTAACTGCGCAAAACACAAGGCATTGCATTTACATTGAGGAGGTCACAAAAACACCCAAAAATATGTTTAACTGATATTAACGTTATTTCAATCGATTGAAGTCTGTAAACTAGTATGGCTTATTTCCGCCATTTATTATGATCTTGAGCAAGTTTATTTAGATTCTATCAGTCATTAGTTACTAACCACGGAATTATGTTATACTTCCGCTTCTATCTTGGTTTTACTCTTTCTATTTCTTTTTCTAGGCACCATACCCTCAAGATCCAGGAGATAAACTTGAAATGGATCATTAACAAATTTGGCGGTTTGTAATCGCTGAGCCTAAAAATATATACATTTTCACTCAATCCGTTTGGCCTTCTTAAAATACATTTCTCTCAACAGAACGTGTAGTAAACAACAAAACAACCTAGACGATTGAACATTTATTCAAGGCTAAAAAAAAAAAAAAAAGACAAAAAAACAAAACAAAAAGAACTACTTTTACTTGCCCCACGACCCACTAGCATCTCTGGGACATGCCGTAATTTTTGAAAAGTCTCTTTTAAATTCACAGTTTGTGCTTTGGAAAATGACTTGATAAACTTTTTCGTTCTTTGTTGTCCAACATCAGGAGAATTTACCTTTTAATTTCAAAATTCACATCTCTCTCTACATCTGGCTGGTAATTGATGCCATCTTGAATCTCTCTTCTTGATATCAAATGCTTTCTACCCTTAAGGTTGATTTACCTTTTGCCCTTGCTGGATTAATGCGTTGTTTTTTTTTTGTTTTTTTTTTAGTTACACTTCAACATGAGCAGTGGAAAGACAACAGTCTAAAAATAAAGGATTCAATTGGAAATCCCCTGTAGTTTACCCAGAAGGAAAGTTGAAGGGCATAACGGCTGAAACGTGATAAAAACAACAAAGATGTGGACAATAGTCCGAATGTAAATAGTGTAAATAATGAGAGCTCCTCTTGCAAGAAATTCAGGAAGAAGGCGATCAGCTGATAATAACAACGAAGATGAGGACAATAGTCCGAATGTAAATAGTGTAAATAATGATAGCTATTGATCCCAGAAATTCAGACAGAAGGCGATCAGCTGATAATAACAACAAAGATGAGGAAAATAGTCTAAATGTAAATAGTGTAAATAATTATAGCTACTGATCCCAGAAATTCAGACAGAAGGCGATCAGCTGATAATAACAACAAAGATGAGGAAAATAGTCTAAATGTAAATAGTGTAAATAATGATAGCTACTGATCCCAGAAATTCAGACAGAAGGCGATCAGCTGATAATAACAACAAAGATGAGGAAAATAGTCTAAATGTAAATAGTGTAAATAATTATAGCTACTGATCCCAGAAATTCAGACAGAAGGCGATCAGCTGATAATAACAACAAAGATGAGGAAAATAGTCTAAATGTAAATAGTGTAAATAATGATAGCTACTGATCCCAGAAATTCAGACAGAAGGCGATCAGCTGATAATAACAACAAAGATGAGGAAAATAGTCTAAATGTAAATAGTGTAAATAATTATAGCTACTGATCCCAGAAATTCAGACAGAAGGCGATCAGCTGATAATAACAACAAAGATGAGGAAAATAGTCTAAATGTAAATAGTTTAAATAATTATAGCTACTGATCCCAGAAATTCAGACAGAAGGCGATCAGCTGATAATAACAACAAAGATGAGGATAATAATCTGAATGTAAATAGTGTAAATAATGATAGCTACTGATCCCAGAAATTCAGACAGAAGGCGATCAGCTGATAATAACAACAAAGATGAGGAAAATAGTCTAAATGTAAATAGTGTAAATAATTATAGCTACTGATCCCAGAAATTCAGACAGAAGGCGATCAGCTGATAATAACAACAAAGATGAGGATAATAATCTGAATGTAAATAGTGTAAATAATGATAGATCCTGATCACAGAAATTCATATCGACAAAACCATTTTACTCACTACAAAGATGCAACTTAGTTTCAGTACATTTCAACTGCATCTTTGCAACACAGAAAAGAAATTTAGAATTATATTTATGTGCATACAGACAGCTATAAAAAAATGAAAAAAAAAACATTTATCGGATTAATGGTTATGTTCGGGTGCATATGTGTGTGTATGAGAGAGGGAGAGAGAGAGCGAGCGAGAGAGAGAGAGAGAGAGGAGTACTGAGTGTGAGTGCACCACGTGTTTGAGTGAAATAAAGTAGTCGGTCTGCTGGGGGAGCGAAAAGTCTCTCGGGGAGGAAAAAATTCGTTTTGTCGCTCCTACATCTTGGACCAAAAAAAACATGATCGAAGGTAGTGGGGAGTCTTTTTATACTGCTGATTGCGACGCCATCTAGGAGCGTTAAGCGAAATCTATAGCCAGGCAAAGGGAAGTAATCCCGTAGATCACATGAAGAGACTCTGTCGACGAACAGCTCTCACTGAATAAGTTTCATATCCTCATGTAAGTAATCACATTACAATTCTGCTTGTTCCTCAGTTAGTTATTAAATTAGCACGTGCGTTATACCCTGTCATTGCGTCAGATAAATAATGGACCATTCCGGTGTGATTGCGAGGAAATACGGAAAAAAGATATATCAGAGACGTTGTTTAATTTTTGTAAAAGAAAGCATAGATAACTAGCAGGCTTCACCCGCCTGTTTTCGTTCCGCAAAGATATATTTACGACTTGAAATCTTTGAAACAAAAATTTTAAATGAACATCAGTCATAAATTGGCTTGTTATAGTTAAGGAAAGTTTCACATATCGATGCCAACTTGTTGAAGGCTAAGTAAAGTGCAAATTTCAAACACTTTTCTGCACTGCGGAACTATTTTTATATGAAAATTAAAACAATTTTTGATAAAAGAACAGCAATGAAGTACAGTTAATTAATGAAATAAACATTTTTTTTTTAAATCAATATGCAAATTAGTTAAACCTGGAGAATGATATTGCCTAGAGGTAGATAATATATAATACCTTTTCTTTTCGCTTCGATAGACACGAGGTATATAAGTACTCCAGAGACACTGAATGATTTGAACTGTTCATAACTTCAATTTCGTTCCTTTCTTTACTCTTATGTAACATGTCTATTTAATACATTTATTAGTTGTTGTTTGTTTGAATTCCGTGTTTTGTGTACCTTTTTTTTTTACTCGGACTCACGTGAGTTCGCCAAATATTGTTTACTGGACAACTGTACAAGGAGGCATGAAACAATAATACTTTGTAACTTGCATTCCCACGTCAGTAGCATGATGAACAGGAAAAAAAACCATGACACACCTATTATGTAAGGTTACTGAGGAAATATTTATTTACACTAAAACCCGTGGAAATTCCAGTTTTTCTATTTTAATTTTCTGATGAATCACAATTCTTAAGTTAATGATTGAATGAGCTCATTGCGAGATGTACGACTGTGAAATAGCCGTGCGAATTCTCCGATTGTATCGTTAAATATTTAGGCTTAACTAACAACAAAATTTTATAATAACACTCATAAGCATGAATGTGGATCATTATAATGATTGTAAGCACTTCCGATCCCACTTGGGAATGTTGGGAGCAGGACGGATCCAGCAGATAGATTTGAATAAATAAATTTTTAAGTTTAACACATCTCGCGTTGTCTGTGTTGTTTCGACTTTTGGTAAATTTTCACTTTGTTTCCCGAGCGCTAATATCCCTTCAAATTTTACCAAAATAGTCTTATTTCCGCACAAAGGTACATGCTGAACTCAAATCAACAATTATATCATGAAGAAACCTACCTTTTTTGGATATTAACGACTAGAAAAAAATCGGACTTCTCGGTCTTTCGTCAGACATTACCGGCTTATTAAGAAGTAATTCACTGCGGATAGATATGTGGCGGAGTCATAAAATTTGGGCCTATTTACTTCCTTTACAGAAATTCCTTGCAGAAATCACTACGCGCTTCCGTAAAGTGATTTTTTTTGTACTTAATTTAAGAAGAAAGTTAACTTTCAAATATATGTAAACATTATAGTGGGTCAGCCAATTTGTATTGGTTATAAAAAGAAATAAAAACTGACCCTCTACAATTTTTACAATATCAAATGTAACAAAGACAACAACAAGAGAAATAATCAAGTAGAAGAAATTGTGAATTTGTTCAACAATAGATATTTTTTATAAACACAACAAATACATAATATATTGTAGACTCGTCCTTTTCCTACCTATCACCTCTAGTAACAGAACAGTCTATATCTTACGCCTACGTACGGAAAACTTCAACCAATAAAAACCGTGCTAGGCGAATCAACAAATCTCATTGGTTAACGACACAATAACCTGAAAGTTTCACGTCCAAAACGAAATTGCGCCAAAACTCCTGTGAACCAATTTCGGACTTTCAAAACATATAAAAGAAAACGCCGACTGACCAAAGCAGTCAGAGACGAACACCCACAGAGAACATACTCCACGTCACTCGAAATCACGATTTTACCGCGCAAAGGTACATCAACGCTAACTCACTTGCAATTTAAACTCAACCAACTCTGTGGACATCGAATCACAAACCTTGCTTATCCAAAGTGAATTATATTCACTACTTATTAAGTAAAAATCAACGTGCGAACGATTTAAAAATATTACAGTCAAAGGTAGATCACTCCATAAGAACTCCTACCAAAAAAAAAAAAAACACTTAATATCGACAGTTTTAATATCAACACAAATCTAGAAAGACTGTAAATGAACAAACGAATACTAAGAGAGACATACCGAAACCTAAAATATCACACACACTTTGCCATAGTAACATATACCAAATATTCTGTTTGTATGTTATTTTGAATTGTATATAAATCTTTTGTTGGTTTCTAAATTGAATATGTCTTGTTTTTGATTGTATTTAAAATTCGTTTATTTATTTGTTTGTGGATGCAGAAAGTCACGCAACCTACACAAATTCCTTCTGACTCTCTCAAGTATAATTAATAAAATTCTGCACATCCCCAATAATATAGTGCAAAAGTTGATAAACACAATAGAGTTCTTTGGTGTGTGTGTTACTGAAAGAATTTGAGTTACTGTACTGTACGTGTGAAAATGAGAAGGTGTAGTTAGCTATATTTGTTTTAGAGGAAAATTAAACAGTTATTTTTGTTTTTGTATTAAATAGAAAAATGTATTGTTCTTGCGTTAAGCCTCTGCGTTAAGCCTGGAAATGGTTGACAAGGTTTGTTGTTGTATTGAAGATAAAGTGATTTTTTATGAAGTCAAGTGAATTGTTTCAATATTTTAAGTGTCCACTGACCAAGTCGCATCGAAGTTTCGTTTTTATTAGTTCTCTTGGTCACGTGGGGAGGCTCGTGAACATGTTTACATTTTATGGCGTCAACTAGAGGTCAAAATTTGGGTCGGTACCTTCGGACGTAGTTGATGACACCTAATTAATATTTTACAACCAATCAAAATACATCAGTTGTTATATTTGTCGAAAATAAGGGCCCGATCAGTGCCCTTGTAGAATTCATATGGTATATAAAGTCCGACTCCCAAAATTCGGCCTCTTTTTCGTTCGCTTTCCTTTGAAACAAGCTCTTACCCTTGACTCGTCGATTTGTGTCTTGAACTCTGCGTGACGGATTTCCTTTACCTGAGGCCTAGACGACCAGTGAGAAGCAGCTGCCACTATTGACATGTGCCCAACTCGGATACGAGCCTGCAATCTAGTTGAAGCTAGGACTGCTACTTAGAAGCCCACTACCACCGCTACAGACTGACTGTCCTACCAGTTAGATCTGCAAGCAAGCTAAGTCCGAAAACACACATATAGTGATTTGCCAAGCGTAGCTTAGATGTAGCACATGGCCGAAAGTATTTGGCACCCAGTAAGGATCGAACTCACTACCCAGTTGTAATTGTTCTAACGAGACAAGCTTGCTAACCATTACACCGCCTCGAAGTGCGCGATGCGCACGTATAAGCTTTTTCCTTTCAATTTTTTTTTCTTGAAGTAAATTAATTGAACTCAAAAGGTTGTTGTTTCCTTTCTTCTTCAAAAACTGTCGTTCCAATTTGTCTGTACGCACTTAGCTTCAGTTCTGAACCCGTCCGATTTGTTTTTTTTTTATTCTAGATATCTCTCGGGGACAAAAATCCCCACATGTCCAGGCTTTTTTAATATTAAAAAACCGATCGTCTGAAACAATAACAAATTTAAAATAAAGAAAACATGGTTATGTCGGTTTAATAATTTGTTTTTATTTACAAACATGAATTCAAAAAGTCTTTGGATAGTTGCCATTGAGAAAATGTTTTGATCGTCAGCGAATATTCATTGACCGTCTATACTGTTGTTGGAGATGATTTGTTTGAAGTCGCCAACACGCTAGCCACGTCTTCACTTGTGTTTTAACGGCTTGGTGTGAGTCGCACTTCTGAAAATCGAAATCTGTGGGGTTTTTTTTTATAAGAAAGTTTCTCTGAAAGTAGTCTCGAGAAAAATAGGGTTTTAGTTTTCTCTGACTGATCAAATATTTCACATGGTGATATTAATTGTTAACCAATAGACATCTTGATTTAAACGGTGTGTATTGTTTTGTGGAATCAGTTTAACATGTTTGTAAATATTGTCTGTTATTAGGCAAAAAATAAAATTTGTGCGTGTTTTAATAAGGTATGTATGTAGGTATGTTATGAGCATGTGCCCGAGTGGCTAGAATGTTCGCTTTCTGACCAAGAGACCCGGGTTCGAATCTCACCAGAGTCGATTTGTCAGGAAGGTGATTTCCTGATGTTGTCCGTCTAGAGGAGGCAATCCCAGCATGCCTGAAAAACATACCACGAGTTGATCCAAGCCTTGTGTGTGAAAATGGGGAGCCGTCGGTGACCGAGTCATCGTGACCGAGAGTTTGAGTGTGCTGGCGTTGTTCAGACTGTTCATTACGCTAGATAACGCGCTTTCTCCCAGAAACTGTAACTAAAGTCTGCTCAGCATAGTTGCAGTATAAACCACAAGTTGGATCTGTGGGTGTTGAACAAACAGAAATGTAGCTGAGCAAGCGTCTGCAATAGGGATTAGCTAGCCGCCTTAATAGACGGGCATCATCAAATACGAGTGGCCAGCTATTATCATTATTTAGGTATATAATTTTTTTAAGCATTTTACCCCAAGCAAAGCGGGATGCCACTAGGGGTTATACGGAGTGGGGGCGAGAGTTATAAGGCGTGATGGAGGAAAGGATGAAGAGAAGGACAGGGAATAGATCAAGGCATCTGGAGATGTCGATTGATATTACATTTGAATAATTGGAGATTATAGCTTTCAAGGAATCAAGTAATAAGAAGGGAATTCCACAGATGGGAGGTGCGAGACATGAAGCTATTGGAGTAGAAGAGACGGTTACATTTAACTGTTTCGACATTGAAAGGGTGGGACTGAGATGCCAACCTAGTAGCACGCTTAAATTCATGCAGTTTGGGAACCAGCGAAAGTACCTAGTCGGAGCAGTTACCGTGAAAGTATATGTAGAAAAAGCAGAAGGAAGCCACAGCACGTCTGTGAGAAAGTGACTGTAGACGGGATGCCAGATCAGGACCAATCACATTGCATATCCGTCTCTGGATTTTGTCGAGGACCTTAAGACAAACAGCGAGGGCACCAGACCATATATGGCAGCAGTATTCCATGCGAATGGTTGATTTATATATTTGAAGGATGGAATCGGGGGAGAAAAAAAAACTTTCTGGCGCGACACAGGGAACCAACTTTCCTTGCGGTGGATTGAAATTGATTCAATACATTGATTCAATGTATTTCTTCCATTTCAGGTTAGCAAACAGTATGAGACCAGGAAGTCGTAAAGAGGTTCTCTCGTGGAGTTGAGCATCAGACATTCTAATGGGAATCAAGGATGGTTCCCTGTGGTGAGTAATAGATAGCAGTTTTGTTTTTGAGGCATTAAAGTTAACCAGTCAATTCCTGCCCCAGTCCATAACCGGTTGGAGGTCCTTTTCGAGACTAACGGGCAAGTTAGTTTTGTCAGCGATACCAGATTTGCTTTTGAGGCAGGAGTAAATAGTAGTGTCGTCTCCATAGATGCCTACTTGGGAACTGATGAGATCGGGAAGATCGTTAATGAAGATAAGGAACAGAGTAGGGACCAGGATAGAGGCTTGGAGAACACCTGCGCCCGTGGGAAAGGAACTGTAGGAGAATCCATTACGGACGACTTTCATTACACGGTTTGACAGGAATGATCGTATTGTCAAATAATCGATCTGATATTCCGTATCCCTGAAGCTTACAAAGGAGGCCGGCATGCGAAACCCTATTAAACGCTTTAGAGATAACTGGAGCCACGACATGAGCTTCTCCGTTATTGTGAAGTGCTTGGTGAATAATTTCAGTTATTTCCGTGAGTACATCAGCTGTAGAACGGACAAAACGGAAACCATATTGCTTGTCAGAGAGCAGATCATGGGATATAAGGTGCTTATCCACTTCGGCGTTGATCAAAGTTTCAAAGAGTTCGCTGAAGAGTGGTAGGAGACTGATAAGACAGTAGTTAGATGGGTCAGAGTTCTTAAAGACAGGTACAATAGATGAGGATTTCCAACAGGCTGGAAAACAAGATTCATTGAGGCAAGAGTTATATAATTTGGATAGGGCAGGGGCTAGTTCAGAAGTACATTTCTTCAGGACAATGGCTGATATCCCGTCTCCACTGCTAGCCTTATGGGAGTCTAATATAGAGATGATGCCCAATACCAACGATGGGGTTATGTGCAACTCGCTCAATAGAGCCTCAGTTCTAGGGGAGAAATCGGGTGTAGGTACACCGAATGAGTCGAGCGTTGAGTTGGAAGAGAATTTCCGAGCAAAGCACTCAGCTTTATCAGCTGAGGAGGTCAGGACCTCAAATTGGTTGAACAAAGGAGGTATTGTGGGTTTGCTGTTGTTAATTACGTTCTTGCAGAGACGCCAATAATCCTTGGAGACGAATTTGCGAGATGCAATACGTTGTTTCATTCTATCAGCAAATAGTGACTTTGCTTCATTGAGGAGACACTTGCACTCGTTACGGTCTGAGACAAAGAGACGTCTTCTGCAATCTGACATGTCACTACGATACAGGCGGAAGAAGTGATTCCTGTGGGCAATGGCAGCTGAACAAGCAGCAGAGAACCAAGGGTCTGAGCGCGATTTAACCTATTTCCTTGTAGGTATGAAAGCCTCGATTCCAGCTTTTACCCAGGAGGAGATCTTGGAAGCGCAATCTTGAACGGGGAACTTAAAGACCACATCTCAGGGAACATCGCGAAGGAAATCCCGGTACGAGTTTCAGTCTGCGCGTTGATAACATAAAGATATTCTGTTGGTAGGAGCTTCTTTGCTGGGAGTGGAGTAGCATGAGATATTGACAGACACTACAGCATGATCAGAGTTGCCAAGAGGGCAGAGCTGCGTGGCGCGACAGGACTCGGGGATGGGGGTAAAACAGAGATCGATTTGTTATACTGGTCGTAAACGCTTGTTCTCAATGTGAAACTAAACTAATACCCCATATTTACCATCAAGTGGAGCAGGGAGTGAAAATGGTTTGTATTTACATTTTTTTTCTACATGTTTTACAAAAATCGCCATGATTCAATTGAAAATGATATTAGTATGGATGTTACTAACCTCTATGAGAGTTATTCGGGCTAACATTCTTGACTGGTATGAAGTGGAAAGATATATTGAATCCCTTGCAAAATCTGCTACTAAGAAAGCTGGTTCACTGTGTCGCGCTATACAATTTTCATCTCCTGAATCTATCTTACATATTTATAAGTCAATAGTGGGTTATAGTGAAGTCTATGAGTGTGGAAACAGGTTAGTTTGATTTGGTCTTGTTAGTTAGATAGCCCACCATAAGTAACCGTTTAAGGTATTTAAGGACATGTGGAGAGGCAGTGGAAAACCTGGAGCGGTAACTGATAACTGACATCCATTAGACATGGCACGGGGAACTAGAACAGTCTACCCCAGCGAGCGAAATAAAGGGTTCAGTTCGGCATTCCAACCACTTGAAGAAGGCCGGAGCTTACAACGGCCGAAACGATGCGATAAATATGGCAACAAAGATGAGGACAATAATCCGAATAATGTAAATAGTGTACATAATACCTCATCTCAGAAATATTGACAGATACTGAAAGGCCGAAACCTTGTAATATATATGCCGACAAAGATGAGGACAATAGTCCGAATAATGTAAATAGTGTACATAATACCTCATCTCAGAAAGACAGATACTGAAGGGCCGAAACGTTGTAATATATATGCCGACAAAGATGAGGACAATAGTCCGAATAATGTAGTGTACATAATATCTCATCTCAGAAATATAGACAGATATTGTGGAATTCTGTTTTCCGGCCAACTTTGATCTTCAAAAATTTAAAAATGTAAAAATGTTATTTCCTTTGTAGAATGTAGTGTCTTCTTATTTTTCTTTTGTTGTTCTCGCCCGTTCATAATATTTCTCCTTTCTTTTTCGTATTCTTTCACACTCAGTAACCACTTGTGACTTACTGGCTTTACTACCTTGCAATGGGGTGATATGATTAAAAAACTCTGAGAACAGGCAGAAAAACAAGTTAAACTGGGCTAACTAAAACAGAGTTGGGACGTGTAAAAAAAATAAATTAAAATAAAATAAAAACGAAATGTTACCATAACTCTAGAGAATTGTGCTTTCTGGCACTTAACAAGGGAAGGGAAAGTGAAAAACTGGAAGGTAAAAAAAAAAAAAGGACCATGTCAATTGAAAGATGACTACTGTAATTGAAAATAGATTATCTCAAGACATATAAAGGGAAATCACTCTAGTGACAGGAAGTCAAGTAAGGGAAGTAACTCTGGACGTAGGAGAGTGCATCTTGTTGTGTGGACGTGGACTGTCTCCGGGTCAGACAAAAATCCCGGAGAATTGGAGGATTTTTTTTTTTTTGTTTGTTTGTTAAAAACTTAATTTTCTTGGCCTTGAACCTGTTGGCAGATATTATCAACGATATTTCATTGTTTATCGAACGTGGACTTACATCACGTAAGTTTAGAAAACAAACTTATTACTTGTTATTTTCATAAATTTGTGTCATCACTTTTTTTTATTGTATTGCATTAAAAAAAACCCAAACAGCTGTTGTTGGGAAGAAGATGACTGATTTTGTCTCCCGAATTTTAATGTGATTTTCTTCCGAAGAATAGAGGTTATTTTGAAATGGAGTTCTGGATAAATTCATTTTCGTAAAATCCTACTTTATTCATGCAGCCAATAATAATCCGATTTTAAAATTATTTATTAATTATAAATTTAAATATTTTCTTAGTGACCATGTAGTCGTCAATTTATTTTTATTTTTACTACAACGAATATATTTATAAAAAATAGACATTTGATTTATTTCAAAAATAATTTCAAAATATGAGTAAAATTCAAAATCGTCAAAAGTTTTTTAAAAAAGTGTAAAAACATCCTACTTTAGTCACGCGGCAAACAAAATATTACTGAAACTAAATACGATAATTTTGTTCATAGATATTTTTTTTTTATTTTTTATAAACCTGATCAAATGTATGAATTTATATTGAAATCCATGATTTTTATAAGAAATAAATGTATTTGCAAATCGCCACTTTTTGCGCATGGAAATTTCACCGAGTGTCGGAGCTATGACTTTTTTTCTCATGTCTTTATTACTTAGATACTTACGAGGGAGTGCTGAAAAGTTCTTGACCCTACCCACTGCACTCAAATCTTATCAAACGTTGGATATTTTTGTAAGGAATCTCTTATTATTGATCTGTCTGTCCAAGAAATTTTCAGCACTCTTCCCAATGTGATTTATAATGCAAGTTGGAACACAATGGTGTAAGTCAGCTTAATATTTGTTTTAAAAAGTCAAAATTTTATGATGCACAACTCTTGTAAAGAATTAGGGTCGTAGGTACATTGCAGATGTAGCATGGCTAGGTGTGTCTAGGGCAGTATAGCCAGAAGAAAACTTCAGGCTGATATTGAATTTAGATTATTTGCGACCTAATGCAAGAAAACCCAATCTACCCTGCTATTTAATTTTATTTAACTCTTAGCTACAGGGAGAAGAAATGGATTTAGGCAAGAGTGAACACATCCAAAAAACACAACTTGTACCTTTTGCATTGCATGCTCATATTTTAACCATATTGCAAATTTGTTTTTGATTTAGAAAGTAGATAACAACTCCCCAATTCACCAACTAGGTCCGCTAACCAAATGTTGATTTTTCTACAATTCATATTTAACTCTCTTTGCCAACATTTTGAAATTTTAGATAACACGTTAAATTTTTATCAATATTTTTGTATGAATTGTCATTTTAAAAAATTTTTTTAATCTTTTTCAAGGATATTATATTAAAAACCAAACTAATTTTAAAACTGAATATTGTGGTTGGTAGCTTAGATAGATTATATGACTATATAGTCAAAATGCTTTTGTGGTGAGAGGGGAACTATATATTTACTACTTTGAAATAATGTCATTTGAATTATGACCTACTTTAAATTAAAATTATTGAATTCTGCCTACCTTATATTGTTCTAGACTATTTGTACACCTGGCATGACATAAAATTTGGAAATCCAATCATTTTCTCTAAACGCAAAATAAAAAAATCTATTGACATCCTGTTATAAGAAATCACTTTGTTGCAGTGAGCATCACCAACCATGCAATATGGCTATTTTTGTATTCTCTAAGTTTAACTTATATTTGCAAAGTGAGTAAATTATTCTGATTTCTAAATGATGTATAAAAAATGATTAATTTAAATTCCATAATAATAATTCCATCATAGACCAATGACTCACTAATTACATACATCTCATATCTGCAAAGTAAGAGAAGTTTTAGAAACTGAAATTTGTTGGAGTATGTACATTAGGTGCAACAAATGTTACAATTAAAGTGCAAGTTGAAATCACGTCATGGTCACTAAACTGCAGCAGAACTACTCCTAATTAGACTAAAAGCAGTGGCAACAAAATTTTGCACATGTAAATGACATAAGGAAATAGAATAAATTTTAAGAAGGTGGCATTTTATTTTTTTTATATAACTGTTTAAAAAGAGAGAAAATACATGAGTATGTATACAAAAGGAAGGCAGGCAGACAGACATTACAGGTTAAAAAGTGTGTATGTATGTATGTAAACGAACTTTAGTCAGTGAGGTGGGGGGGAACAGGCCCAGGAAGTTCTGATTGCCACTTCAGCATGTCAAGAGGAAAAAGTAGAGAAGAGTGATGACAGGAAAACTGTCATTTTTATAGACTTGTTGAAACTGGCAAATTAAACAGATGCAATAGTTTAAGACCATTATTTTGCTGAGGTCAAAAGAGGTACACCTTTTGGCATGTGTGAGGTCATTGGTGTTTTTATTTATTTATTTTTTTGAAATTGGTAGTCTATTTGTAAAAAAAAAAAAAAAAAAAAAAAAAAAATAACTAAATAAAAATATTATTACTATTTGATGGCAAATATAATGGTCATTTTTATAGAAAATGACTAGCAAAATTTATTCCATCTACTATATATGAAGAATATAAAGGTTCTTTTTTAATTCACTGTTTGGTTTTTATTACCATAGGTAATCATGATTTCCTGAAGCTTCTGTTGTAATGAGGAAAAATTGTTCTTTTTTGTTTTTTTTCTCTTCGTTCATGTCTTTTTACTAGCCTATAAAACATAGTTTAAAATATCATTTACACTATCGTCCTCATTTTTGTTGCTGTTATCCCAGACGAGATATCCATAGAGATGGGCAGTGAAACATGAACAGTCTACTTCTGTAGATTAAATAAAGTGCTCAGTTCAGTCTTCCCTGTAGGTCACCTAGATTGATATACAGTTGATGAAGGCCAGAGGTCACAGTCGCCAAAATGTGATAACAATAACAAAGATGGCAACAACTGTCTGATTTTAAATAGTTTAAATAATAACTCCTCATCCTAGAAATTCAGATAAAAATTAGCCTAGAATAGTTTGAAACTTCAGTTCAATCATCCAGGCTCTATAGCTGTCGATGTGGAGCAGTAGTGTTTCTCAACCAATGTTCCTGGAGCCCTAGAGTTTCACAATAGGTCAGTAGATCTTCCAAAAGAAACAGTGATAAATAGACTAACAAATTTTCAAGTAATTTTTGTTTGATTTTATATTTGTAATTTTACTATACATGTATGGCATATTGTTGGAAAATCCTTGATTATTATAATAAAGGCTTCAACCTCTTATATTATTTAGAATTATAATCATCATAGGGAATGTATTCAACAATGTCTATATAGTGTCAGTTTGAAGCCACCTTTTACTGTTTCAAAGTCAAGAACTGTATGTGGTAGATATATGTATCATTGTATATTTTGTTTACCACATGAACTACAATAAAACTATAAATGACATATATTAATAATTGTATATAATAATTTTTGATCAGGATTTCCCTGAGACATGAAAACTATTTCAAGGCTTTCACAAAGGTAAAAAGGTTGAGAAATGCTGATTTGGAGACTCATATCAGATACAATGTAATATTTGGTTATTTATCAATTTTTTTTTCAATTACTTAAATGTGTGTCTGATTTGTGGGCAAATAAGGTATCAGCTGTTATAAAATCTATATACGCATGATTATCGTGGGAGTCAGTTCTCAATCATGCAGATGACGTGGCTAACCTTGTTGCTATTGATTGACTGTTATGACTGAATAGTGGGTTCAATCTTCACTGAGTTCCCCATGCTTTCAGCCTTGTGCCACATGTAAGCCACACTTAGAAGATCACCATATCTTTTATAGCTGTTGACTATAAATGCTTCTGAATTTCAACAAGTGGTACGTTAGCACACAGGGAACTGTTTAGGAATTTGCAAATGGTAGCTGCATGGAACCTATGATTAACAATGTTGAAAGATATACTGCCTTCATCTTACTGGTGAAATTAATGTTTGGAAAGCTTGCAATGTGCTTTCCTGGGTAAATTGGGCAAGCAAAAGGGCTGTCAATGGTCAGTACAAAGCAACACAGGGACTATATCAGGGCCATTGCGACAATGTGTAATCTCTTCTAATGTAGAGAAGGGGAATCATTTTGCACCCTATACCTACCTACCAGGGCTATATGCAGTGGAGAGATGGGTAGCAACAGAAACCAGAAACACACTCTGCATCTTAGGTATCATCCAGAGTACAACTCCATATTTTCCTGGGACTGATGAATGCCTATGACCTCTACCAATCATCATTTACCCCCACCCAACCCCTGTTGTAATAGACCTGTACCTTCCTACCTTTTGGCTAACAAAACATTCACTTATTTTCCACTAAAAGCTGAAGTTAGATATAAATTCCCAATTGATTTATAATTCCACAATTGTTCGTCCTGGGTAAACGTTAAACTACATCCGCATCCTGGGTAAGACGATAAACTATGTCCAACAGCAAAACCTCTGATCAGGAGGTTTTGAGGAGCATGAAATCACATCTAAATTGCTGGTGTTCCCAGGTCCACCCTGTCCTGGGGTGGTAGCACCTGTTAGGGTCCCAGCTATGGGCAAATAGTTAACTATTACCAGAAACAGATTTTTAACCAAACAAAATATTACCAGCAATAAAAAATTTTGTCAGCATTAAATAACCCATTGAGGTTGATATGCCGTAAAACAAAATAAACCAAACCAATCTAAACCAAAGAATACATATTCTAGTCATACGAATCTATCCTAAAAATGTTGTCGGCATTAAATAACCCATTGAGGTTGATATGCCGTAAAACAAAATAAACCAAACTAATCCACAACTGTACATTGCTGACACATCTGGTCTGGTGTTTTTGCTATATCTACAGAGATTCTTGATAAAAATCCAAAGAAGAATCAGCAACATTATCAGTCCCGACCTAGCATCTTGACTTCAGTCATTTTCCCATTGCCGTCACATAGATTCCCTGTGCCTTTTCTATAAATATTTTTACAGCAATTGTTCTGATGAAGTTTTCTCATGTGGTATCATGACATCACAAATTTAAGCATGGTACTAGATTGGCAACTAGGTCTCATAATTTCACTATTGAAACGACTAGTTGTAACCATAAGTTCTATGCTAATAGTTTCTTCTTCTCTACTAGTTCACTTCTAAAACTCTCTTCTGGTTTCTTGCTTTCCTGGTAACTACATATGATTTTTTAAAAAATTTAAATGCAATGTCAATCAAAATCTTCTGTTACCTTTAGTCCTATTTTTTCATTGCTCTCTCTTTCTTTCCTTCTCCTTTTACCACTTGTGTCTTAGTGACTTTGTTGTGGTGATGATTTCCTGATCACTACAATCTTTAGAATTGTAAATGCAACATCAATGGTCATTTTCTGTCTCCTTGAATCCCTTTTCTTTTATTGCCCTTTTAGTTTCTTTTGCTCCTTGTGCTTTAGCAGCTTTTATCACCTTGCTTGAGGTGAAATTCATCTCTTCTAAGATATTTGCCTGTTGCAGCCAAATCTAATAAATATCTAAGATCCTTTGTCATTTCAGAAATGCAGAAGGAAAAAACAACTTGTATTGCATTCAGTAAATTTATCTCATAAAATTTTCCCAAATCGTCATAATTCCATGTAAATTTACAAGAAAAAATCAGACTTCTTGTTGGTCATTCGTCCACCATTACTGCCATACTGTTTAGTAACTAACTGCGGGATACATCTGGCAGCGAAAGCACAAATTTTGGTCAATTTACTTCGTTTATAGACTTTTGGTGCAAAAAATCACAACGCACTATCATAAAGCAATTTTTTTTTTTTTTTTTTTATAAGTGTAGTTTTATTTATAACAGAAAACTTTAAACAAATTCAATAACGCAATAAAACTTTTTTTTCTGTGTAGAATAGCAAGGACAAATTAAAAGAACAAATTAAATAATACAATGAAGCATTTTTTCATATTTTAAACTTGGTAAAGTAGAAACGAAATAAGTGTTGATTGTATTATTTAATTTTTTTTTTAATTTGTCCCCTTTTCTACACAGAAAGAAGCCAAACACAACCCCTAACCCTAACCCTAAACTTAATCCATAAACATACAAAATAAAATTACAAAATTAAAAAAATGCTAGAAACGAAATGAGTGTTTATTATATTATTTAATGTTTTTTTTCAATTTGTCTGCTTTCAATTTAAAAAAAAGAAGCTTTATTTATTATTTAATTTGTTCTTTTAATTTGTCATTGCTTTCTGGTAGTGCATACTGATTTTTTTCACTGAAAGTCTGTAAAAGAAGTAAATTGGCCAAAATTTGTGGTTGTATCCCACAGTAAATTACTAAACAGTATGGCAGTAACGGTGGACGAATGACCAACAAAAAGTTTGATTTTTTTTTTTTTTTTTTTTTTTGTCGATAACTCCAAAATGGTAGGTTTCTTCATAATTTAACTCTAGTTAACTCTAGTTCAGCATGTACATTTATACGGAATTATGATGATTTAGGAAAATTTTAAGAGATATTTAGTGTGGGTGTTAAAAAGCAAATTTACTTTGCATTCTTTTTTCTGTCAGATTGCAAACATCTTAGAGAGAAGATAGCACAATGGCCACTTAAAGAGAATTGGATAGCACAATGACTGCTTGGTTTGAGCTTAAAGGAACCAAAGTTATGACATCCTTGCTGTCCTGCTTGAAAGTTAATTTGTCTAAGAAAAGTTATGTCTGACATCATTCGAGTATATTTCTTAACTTTCCTTTCAGAGAATCCTCCATGGAGATGATTACTAGACGACGACATACCAATTTCCGACTAAATGAGCCACTTCTGCCAACCACTGTTCCCTACAAGCAGCCAACTGTTCCATGGTCAAGTGTACAATCATCTCCACCCAAATCTGGCTTGCTTCCTCAAGATCATAGCTGCAGAGACAGAACCAGTGAATTTTTTTCTGCAGTCAAATCATTGCAGTCTCGAAGGGTGAGTTGACATTATGATGGGGAATAAATTTAACTTTTTCAATTAGTTGATACCTAACTTTGTTTTTAGTAAATATGTCGTATAGATCAATGGTTCCCTGGTTTTTAGTGGGGAGGGGATTATCTCTTTCCAGAATTACTCACAAGCAAAACTGAACAAATTAAAACCTTTTTTTAAGTAAACAATATTTTTCCATTAAAAGAAAACTGTAGAGCCCAAAAAATGTGTGTGTATATATATATATATATATATATATATATATAAAAAACGTCATCCACAGACAGACTGTTTCACAGCTCATCAGTGTGGCTAGACATCCAGTTGCCTCTAGCTAGGATCGAAACCCAACTGAATTGGTGTCAGTCGGAGATTCTAACCATTAAGCCGTCGGCACACGGTAGGGATGAAAGTGGATTTTTAGCATATTTATTTTTAGAAACACGCCCAGTGACTGACAGTGACTCGATTTGCATCTGAAGAGTCTCGCTATATTGCTATAATAGTCAGTGTTTACCAACCCACACCTCGTCCCCAGAGAGCTCAACTGAAATTGATATTTCAGGAGCCAATATAACATCATCCACAGATATATATATATATATATATATATATATATATATATATATATATATATATATATATATACACACACACCCCAGGTGTAAAAGCAAAATTGTCCATTTGTTAGATTAAGCTTAGAACCATTGTATCTTAGAAATGATTAAAGATATCTTACTGAAATTCTCCAAGGATTTTATAACACTATTGGACTCTACTTTGAGCAATAAGAATGTATAATTACTCTCAAAGCTTAAATCAAAATGACATGTTCATCAGTAATTAATCATAGCTAAGATTGGAAGCTCATGAAGAATTTAAATAATGTTCAAATATATATATATATATATATATATATATATATATATATATATATTGCATGCCAAATTATTATTGAGATAACTTTTTTCTAATATTTCAAAAACTGTCCAATCAATTCACACAAAATTTTCACACACGTTGGAAATACTGACCTGCACAATCACTGAATTTTTCATACTGATCTGCGCAACGTAAACAAACTGGCGCCATATTTGTTATCAGCACGGTGATTTGAGAGTGCCAAATTATTAGAAAGGTTTAGTAAAATTCCAAGAATTGAGCAAACAAAAAGTTTATTAATGTTGCACGTGAATGTTTATGATCAAAAGAACCTAATAAATAAGATAATCAAACAAATAATAACAGATACAAAAAAAGGCACAGTTATAAACAAATTAATAGGGAATGTGCTTTCCCAGTTTTGAAATTACTTGAAGTCTACGATCCATAGAATTTGTTAATTGTAGGATGTCATCTGCTGTAATGCCACGAGATATGTCAAGAATTGCTTCCCACAACTCAGCGTTGCTCCTGAATTGTCGTCCATTGGCGTACAGACTTCACTTCATGATGCTCCAAAGGTTTTCGATTGGGTTCAAATCCGGAGAATTTGCTGGCCACTTCATTTTTTGAGGTTCATCGAAGCCTAACTGTTTCAAATATTCAGTAGTCTTGTGAGCAGCATGTGAGGGAGCATTATCTTGAATAAAAAGAATGGCCCTTCTGAAGGCAAGTCTTTTCCTTTACATCCACGGTTCAAGATGCTCCTTCATAAACTCTATATATGCATCAGCAGTCATTTTGATGCTATCTGGTACTCTCCATGGGCCCACTAATGTTTTTCCAATAATACCACCCCAGATCATTATGCCTCCACCTCCTTGTTGGTGTCTCAAACGCTGATGGCGATTCTGTCCATTCATTACCCAGCCTTTGCACCATTTATCTGGCTCATCAAGTGTTGCTCGAGTTTCGTTGTGGACAAAACTTTAGAGAAGTCAACCTTCATATTGTCCTCGGCCCATTTCAATTGATTTTGAATGTGATTTCTCGTCAACGGAGGCTTTGATACAGGTTTGACTGTTGTTGCCATTTCCCTCAGATACTAACACTGAGTACTTTTAGACACAGTAGGATCCCCAATGCGACTGAAAAGCTCTTGACTGGTAAGTACAGGGTTCTTTGTGGCCTCTCGTTTAAGTCATGACATGAGACAATGTGAAATAACCATCAGCTTGCTTTTATCTGCCCTTTTGCGTACTTGTGTAGGGTCGGCAGTGAACTTTTTTTTTGATGACACCTCCCTATCAAATTTCTAGGGTAGATTTACCTTTTGAGAGTTCTGAGGTGATAGTTTTCTTTTCAGCATCACTTAAACTGCTTTTACGACCAATCTTTTCACTAAATTCTTACACTTTTCTAATAATTTGGCACTCTCAAATCACCGTGCTGATAACAAATATGGCGCCAGTTTGTTTACGTTGCGCAGATCAGTACGAAAATTTCAGTGATTGCGCAAGTCTGTATTGCCAACATTGTGTGAAAATTTTGTGTGAATTGATTGGAGGGTTTTTGAAATATTAGAAAAAAGTTATCTCAATAATAATTTGGCACGCAGTGTATATTATTCCAGGATCATTTTCCAACTTATTCAAGATGATCTTCGCCCTCTCTAACCTTCTGTCTTGGAGTAAGAAGGTGCCTCACAGGTTTCACATACGATTGTACGATTTCATTTTTAAGTTTTTTTTCACTGCTCTTTGGACTGTCATAACTGAAACTCCTCTCTGATGTGCCGAATGTCTTATGAATTGAGTTGGATCTTTCTAATTGATCTCTTTAGCTCTAAGTTAAAATTATGATCCATCTTCTTGTTGTGACCTCCTGATCCAGTTTTCCTCTCTACTGCTTCCTCTTTTTTAAACTTATTCACTGTTCTGTTCATGGTTCTTAAATGGACTTTGATGATGGAAGCGAGAGAATGAATGTTAGTACCATTACTTAAGGCCTGAATGATCTTTTTCCTCTTACCATTGCTCATTTGGGAAGATAGGCTGACACAAAAGGATTTTAATCTTTTCTCTTTCTAGCTGAATAACTCAAAGGGTTTTCCCGTGATTCTTATGACAGATGGTGTCAAGATGGCTAAACATTTTATATGAAAACTTGGAAAAAACAAAGCCATTTAATTTAGTGCTTTTTTTTTTTTTTTTCTTTTTTTACATATTAAGCGTTCTTTTGGATGGACAATTTTGCTGTTACACATAGGTATAAGAATCTGACAGAATGATAGGATTAGGAAAAATTAGAAAATGTTAATAAATTTTACATGTTTTGTTTTTATTTAAGCTTCGTCAGAAATTTTTGGGTGAATTAATTATGGAAGAGAAAGTTCCAGTACTTTTAGCTCTATGATGTTTGTTTTTCCTTGGTTAGGTAGGCCTCGCATGTCTTTGTCTTGTGGTGTTATCCAGATTCTTTCACTTTCACACTGAGATATATATATATATATATATATATATATATATATATATATATATATATATATATATATATATATATAAGTTTAATGTCCAGGGTGGAATCGGACCAGGAAAGAGTAGTATTAAAAAGTGCTCAATACACGTGTGAAAAAATAAAATAAAAGTAAAAATAATGTAGAGCTTTTAACTTTAAAAATCAGGAGGTCAGTTGAATCCGTTACCTTGGTTTCAAACTTACAATATCCTCAGGTGATTTTTATCAAATGAACTTTTAACACTTTATTTTTTTTTATTTTTTTTTTTTTTTTAAGACTAATGAAAGCTATATTATTTAAAAAAAATAAACAAACACACAACATTAGGTGTAATAGAAGGGGAAGAGGAGGATGTAAAAAAAAAAAAAAGGAGGAGGAAAAGAATAAAAGCGAGGGTATTATTAAAGGATTGGTGGGGGGGGTTAATTGAAATGCACTTTTTTTTTTTTTTTTTTTTTTTTATCCAGGTCATCTGATAAAAATTACATGAGGGTACCATGAGGTTGAAACCAAGGTAGCGGATTCAACTGACCTCCTGATATTTTTTAAAAGTGTGTGTGTGTATGTGTGTATATATATATATATATAAAGAGAGAGAGAGAGACTTTTACCACCTTAATTTCTCTAGTGAATGCCCTCTTAGATATAAAATAGGCGTTATTAAAAATTTCCTCAAGAGAGCACACAAGAATTCATCCTCTCATGCTTTTCTTTAAAGAATTAAATAAGTTTTTTAACATATCAACATGTATTAATAATGATGAACCATATATATATATATATATATATATATATATATTATTATATATATATATATATATATATATATTATCATTATATATATATATATATATATAGTTATCATTATATATATAAAATTTGAAATTTTGTTAAAATTAAACATGTTTTACATTTCTGGTATGTATAATTTAATATTTCTTTAGAATTTTATTATTTAATTTAAAAAAAAAAAAAAATGAACAAACAAAAAAATCCATAATCAAAATGACTAAAACAAAAAAAAAATAGCAGAAACAACTTTCAGAGTCTGACTGTACATGGGGGGGAAAATCAATTCACATTTATATAAATCATTTATTTTTTTACTTTCAGAAGAATCATTTTATGCCTGTACAAAAGAACAGACCACAAAAAAATGAATTTGCATTAAAAGCAAGGTTGGTTTTACCCATGACTATTTTTCAGTTTCAAATGATGCCGTATAACGAAAAGCCTTTCATTTATCATTTTATTTTATTAATTCTATTTATTTTATTTATTTTCAGTCAAACAGACCAAAAAATTATTTTCCTTTCATACACAAAATAACTCAAAATAATTCTTGTTGGTCATCAATATTTAAGTGTATACGTTCATATATTACAAACATCAAGTGAGGAGCCAATTCTACATTCAGTCAGTTTATTAAATGATCCCTCATTTCTTGGTCACCATTATTGTAACTCCTGTACCTGCAAACAATCAAAATTGTTTAAAAAACTTGAAATAGATTGGTTTATGGAGATTTCCAGACTATTATCTTTGTTATTTTAATACCATATTTCAGTTGATTCATTCATCATCCTTCTACAATTGTCTTAAGTTATAAATTATTTTCTTTATTCTACATATTTTTCCTATTCCTCTGTTTAACTCAATTCCACACAGAAAGCGAAGCTTTTTTACCCAGACATATTTAATTGGTACTGGTTCCTTTTGTGATTGAGGTATTGATTTGAAACTCCACACATGTTACTAAAAATAGACTCTCGTGAAAAAAATGGTTGAGTTATTTGAAATATATATTTGTGAATATAGGGTATATTTCTTTTGTTTCATAATTACTGATGTTAAAATATTTTTTGCTGATGTGAGGATTTTCCGAATTATAGAAAATTCTTTATAGTCTTACTTTAACCTTCAAATACAGGTACTTTATGAATTGAGTACACAAATATTTCAAAGTACATTCAACATGAATTCTTTGCATTGCAAATGAAGTTATTGAAGTATTTGGTTTATTGACTTTTCAAACTCATGTTTGATGATGTCACTTATTCCAGGCCCAAGGAAAATTTAAAAGGCATAAGAATAATCGTTCAAAGACCAATTACTATGCCATTATTTGAAGCTTTATGACATTTTTTTAAATTGTTGGTGTGGGGAGCTTCCCCCACCTTTCATGGCTCCAAAATAACTTCAACCTGGTTATGAGGATAAACTACGTTCATGTTCTTGGTATAACAATAAACTACATTTAATAGCAAGGCCTCTGATCAAGAGGTTTTGAGGTGCATGGAACCACCTCTTAATTGCTGGTGTTCCTAGGTTCACCCTGACCCAGAGTGGTAGCACCTGTTAGGGTCCTAGCTATGGTTAAATAGTTAACCCCAAAATGAAACTATGAAAGTGTAAAAATAGGTTTTAATACCAGCAATACATTTTTGTAAATATTATTACTAGCAATGAATTTTTGAGGAAAAAAATATTAATTATCAAGTTAACAATGTTTGTCCTTCCTCAGATGTATATTGTAATTTGACTGTAGAATTCTTCTTTTCTTTATTTTTTTCACCTCATTTTTCAAACTGAATCACAGGACTGAATGTTATGGTCTGTATATTAATAGTATCAGCAAGGCAACAAGAGAAACTGGAATTTCTTCACATTGTCCAAGAAATCATTAGTGGGTGCAATGAGATTAAAGTCTTTTATTTTATTTTTTCTAACTATTTAGTCTATGCAATGTTTATTTTAAAAAATGTAACTTGTATTAAATTAGGCTTAGACTAAAAAATTATCCTTAATATTTTGTCACTAGTATCAAGGGGTTATCTTGTTTGTACTTTTCTCCCCCAGATACATTGGAAAGGATTTAGCAAATACTTTTTGCAAGATGGAAAAACTCACTTTACGTAAGTATAAGCATCATTGCAGTATTTAACTTAAATGATGTGATTGACAGGACACTTGTTTTAACGTTCCTTCTAAACACTTATGATTGAATTAAAGAATGAAAGTGTTGTGGGTTAGTGTATGCATTGAGAAATAAACACGTGTATCTCCTGAAATACTCACAACAAACATGGCAGACTCAGGATGTGAGTCCATGTAAATAAATGTAAAGAAACGGCAAGAAACAAAATATATATATATATATATATATATATATATATATATATGTGTACAATCAAATGATAATGTATGTATTAACAAAACAAGGGTATACATAAACAATAGAATGTTGTTGTGTGTTAATAAACAGGAATGAAGAAAACATTTTAAGTTCAAAGTATGTGTAGTGAGTGAATGTGTGTATGTATGTATGTGTGTGTTGTTCACACGTTTCCCAAAGGGAACGTGTTCTCCATGTGACATTTACATGTTGATGTGTAAGCAGAAAAAGTAAGAAGAGAGTGAGAATGATATCGCAGATTATTTATAGTCCAGAAAGTGTCTCCTAGTAGTGATTTTGAAAATTAGGAGGAGGTAACCCAACAAAAGTAGCACAGAATTAAATGCCTGATAACAATTAATCCTAATTTCTGTGTGTTTTGACCATAATACAATAAAAATGGCATATTGTAACAACATTTTGTTAGCATAATGCCATTTATAGGGTCTGTCTTAAGAAATAAAAGCAATTCAATTTGTTAAATTAATATTCTTGGTTCAGGTTCATCCCACTATATTTATATTTATAATGCTCTTATTTAGCAAGGGAGATAACTCTCGATATACTAAGTGTTATTTTATAGCTTCCCTTTATTTCTAAATAACCATTATAATTGTACTTGTTTCTGCATTAGTTAGCATCTGCCATTACCTCAGATAAATAATGGACCATTCCATTTTGATTGCAAGAAAAGAGAAAGGTTTATGCTTTTGGTTTTAGAGAAAAAAAAAGAAAGCATGCATAATAATAAAAAAGAAAGAAGAGGAAGATAGAAGAGACAATAATACTCTCATGCATTTAATGTCTGCTCCAGTGAAATGGAAGGTCTTGTCAATTTTTTATTCTATCATCTATACTTTTTACTTCTTAAAATAATGACCTGCATTCATATTCATGATTGGTATAGCAATATTTATTAAAGTTGTTCATGAAATTTTCCTGAGTACTGTTAGTTATGACATAAATTCTATAAATACCAAAGACCTTAATGGCATTTTTGGAGTATTTCAAATACTTTGTGTGTCAAATAATTTTTCAGACAAAACTGAAGGGAATCTTAGCAAATATCAGAAACTGATATTAAGGTGAACCATAAAACTAATTAAGATTCTGGCTATCTTGTTCGTTGGGTGAGCACACTGGCCCGAGAGGGCGGGGGGAACATTTGTTAATGAAAATACAGCAGCATCACTTGGTATGGATGTATCTCTTTGCAGTGGAGGAAATCTACAAGAATAAAAAGAAAAAGACATTTTCTCTTATCTATCTATCTCAGTCTGTTCCTATTTATCTATCTATAGTGTATATTTTGGGAGCATGTTTTCATTAAGACATCTCATTGAATAATTTAAACAAGATTTGTTTACTTATTTTCAATAGGATCCTCTCATGTTCATGGACAAGCTTCTTAGTATCCTTATTAAAAGAAGAGAGGAAATTACCATATTGATACATATTCATTTATTCTGAGTACTTTCGACATTAGCACAATGTCATCATCAGCATTTTGATACAAAATTTTTGTGTTCATCTGAAAGTTAATTTTTTTTTTTTTTTTTTTTTTTTTTAACTGTGAAGTGAAAAAAGGTAACAGTTATGCATTGTGTGGTTTAAATTTCACATTTGAAACCTTGTGAATGCAACAATTTTGTCTTAAAACAAGATAATTGAATCCTTTAAATAAAAGCATTCTGAATGTCTTCTAACATATTGAGGATAAAGTTGGGACAATGCCTTAATAATGTAAGATACAAATATAGGTGATAGGACACACACTAAAGCGGAAACTGATTGATAGGACACGCACTAAAGAAATACCAAAATGATGACAAATAAAATGAAGGGAATACTAAAGAAAAAAAAAATTATCTGTACAATTTGAAAATAATTTAAAAAAAAAAAAAAAAAAAAATTTACTTTTAAAAAAAATGTTATTTTTAATTTTTCTTGCCAGTTGTTATGAGTGAACACATGCCAGGAAATCCGAACGAAATTGTGGAATTAACAGCCATGATCAAACAGGACATTACAGGGTTAAACAAGAACATTGCAACACTTGAAGAGGTGATTAACTTTTCTTTTTACTCAACCTTTTATGATCAGACAGATTTGTCTTCATTGTAACATATGACAATAATGTGTGTGATTTTACATGTCTGGAAAGAATTTTGTTTTGCTTCACTACCATTTACCAGGGACACAATCCAGAAAGAAGACACTGATTTCAATGAAACAATTGACTTAATGGAACTGATAAACCCATATCCAGTGTTGATTCTTGCTTGGTGAAGCATGAATTCAAAGGAAAGCATAACAACAACTAATAATTCTAATAAAATAACCTCACCTATTTTGCTAGATCCGCCTTCAATAAGCAATTAGATTCAACTTAATTACAATTCACAGTAGATAACGTAAGAACAATAGTTCAATTATGGTAATTGTATTGTTTAGCGATGCTTGATGTGCAGTGATGTGAGAAGGTTTGGTGATGTGATGCCCGGTGCCAACTCCTTGATTGTATGACCCTAAGACTTAAGTAGGCGGGGGTCCTATAGGGTCTAGGACTAAGAAATTTTAGAAAGGAGGACATTTTAAATATGTAAAAACAGATGAAACATGAAATAAGCACTTTATTCAAATAAAATAGAAACTAAATTTTTATTTCATTCTTTGATTTGATGCCCTCCCGATACGGATGCCTGAGGCTGTCACACCCTCTGCCTCCCTTCTGCCTGAGGCTGTCACACCCTCTGCCTCCCTTCTGCCTGAGGCTGTCACACCCTCTGCCTCCCTTCTGCTTGCTACTGCTGAAGTGTATTTGTCAAAATATTGACTTATGACCACATCACATTGAAACACCAGTTTCCATACAGTCACTGAAGTTAAGCAATGCTGGTGACTGCTTGAGAACACCAGATGCTGTAATTTTCCATGTGTGGGTGGTGTAATGGATAATGGCTTGGAATTATTTATCGGAGAGCTGAGTTCCAATTCCAGTTGGGTTCGTTATATTCACTTATGCACAAATATCTTTATGAAAAGTTTAAATCCACCTCTTCTATCACCAGCTATGGGTTAATTAGTAAAACTTGTATCACTAATGCCATTATCATCTTCGAAAATGACATAGAAAATAGATTTCAGCAGTAAATAACCCATAGTGGTTGATATGCTACTAAACAAAACCAAATTGTCAAAATATTTTGATGAGATTGCATCATTATTTAGGATTATTCCATTTCAACAAGTGTTTTTATTGAGTTTGTAATCTACCTGCAAGACCATGTACCTGGTAACAGTAGTCAACCCATTCCAAACATAGGATTAGTGAATGAGGTGTGTGATATGAATGTAGGAGGTGGTGGTAAGAAGTGAAGATTATGAGAACAAGGAGGATGGATAACAATTGACCCTTAACTTGAAAGAGAATTCAGCCATTTAATATTAATGAAGAAAAAAAAATCCTACCTAGTGTAATGACATTTTAGTCCTCATTTACTTATAATAATATGAAATGATGTTCAATTAAAATCCCTTTCAAATTAATTGGTTTATGTTTCAGGTGCAAAGATAAAGTGAGCAGATATTGACCTCAAAAGGTTCCAACAAGCATAGATAACTGTGCCTTGCTTTATGATTGTTTTCAATGGCCTAATTTGAGGACCAAACTTTGGCTGAAGTAATGGAAAAAGAGGAATACAGTTTCAAGAGCTTTCACTTTTTCCACACAGTCTGATATTCCTCTTTTGGGATCACCAACAGCAACCTTATCACATTCTCCTTAATCTCATTCCCTATGTTTCAACAATGGGAAAAGCCAGAGGTTTCAAGGAACCAAATCTGTATGAGGTGGGATAGGTTAACTGACAGGCCTGGGTCATGCAATATTTTACCTAATAATCTTGCATGAAAATGTACTCTCTCATTGTGAATGTAAGGGTCACAGAGTACACAAGATCACTCAATGACATCTCACTGCTGACTGAATAAGTCCATGAGAGAACATCTGCTCAGACATGTGCAACAAGGTCTGAACAAACACAAGGCCTCCTCTGAATTGGTTTTCAACTTACATGTGAGAGTGTCCCATGTTGGCTACTGAGCTTTGTATTAAGGGATCTTTAGTATTAATGAAAAAAAAAGTCTTTGTTTACCCAGCACATGGCCCTAGAAGTAAATAACGAACTGAATAAAAAGTAGACTAAATGGAAGAAGCTTAAATAATGATGCAATATCATCATAAATATTTGTGTATTTTGCACCAGTGTCAGTTATTTTTTTTGTTATTTTTAAGTTAGAAAAAAGCTCTACTAGGAACATAGGTACTACACAGTATTCTGAATTTAATTTGGCTTTGTGTTAGACTAGGTCAGGTAAATACGTAAATATCTGTATATATTTATAAATGTCTCTTATTACTATAAACATTATTTTTAGTTGGTACGTGTGTTTGTGGTGACGTCCTTTTTTTATTTTTTTTTTTATCAGTGAAACAAATGTTAAGTGATCTATATTCCAAAAACCTCTAATCAAAAATGTGCTTCTCATCAAGAATTGAAACTGTATTCCTCTTTTTCCGCTTCTTCAGCCAAAGTGAAAGCCTATAATTAGGCCATGGGAAACAGTCATGATAAAGTTATCTACTCTTGTTAGAACCTTTTGTGGTTGATATCTGCTCGCTTTATCTTTGCACCTGAAACACAAGCCAATTACCGTAATTCCCCATGTATAATACGTCTTCATCCATAGTGTGGGAAAATGCTTCTACTCACACATAATACACACCCCTTGTTTGGTAATCAATCCCTATAAATTGTATCTCACTTATTTTAATTACAGCCAGCGTTTTCTACTCTTATTAAAAAAAAAAAAAATGGTTTTAAACATAGAATAATATTATTCTAATTTAGTTTCATGATAATATTTATTTTTTTATGGCAATCTTTTAAAGATTTTTTTGTAGCTGTGTATAATACACACCCCTGAATTTACTTTTTTTTTTTTTTTTTTTTTTAAATGCATATTATACATGTGAATTACTGTAATTTGAAATGGATTTTTAATTGAACCTCATTTCTTATTACTATTAGGTTGTTCAGAAAATGTTCAATTTTAGAATAAAACTCTTAATTATGCTCAAATAATATATATTTATTTATTCTAAAATCAAGTTCGCCTCAAGTAAGGCAGTGGAACCACTAAGACACAAGGGGTTACTGGGTGTGGAAGAATTAGAAAACAGAAACATTATTAATGACCAAGAACAAAAAGAATAATCAGGAGGACAGTAGAAAGCAATTAACATTACATTTACATTATTGAAAATTAAAATTGACTGGAAAGCGTGGAGCCAGAAGGAAGTTCCACAAGTGAGAAGTGTGAGAAAAATTGTTAGCTGAGAACTTATGGTTACATTTAGCCAACTTAACTGTATATTGATGAGATCTCATCACCAGTAATAGTTTCAAACAATATGTTACACATTTCTAATGATTAAAGTGTCCACTTTGTTAATTTTATATCAATCTTTCAGAATTTAACTTAAAACATTATATATACCTCATTTAGAACATGAAAAAAGATTTGTTTACTCTTTTGCATGTGTTCAAGCTTGGCCATAATGCTTCTCAAACTGCTGTCAACATTAACAGAGCAAGTGGTGAAGGATCCACTTGTGAAGGATCCACTTGTGACACAGTATGGCAGTAGTTTCTGAAGTTCTGCAGTGTGGATATGAATCTTGAAAATCAAGGTGGTAGATGATCTTCATCTTTAATTGACAGTTAACACCTGAAAGCACTAGTTGAACAAAATTGTCAGAGAAATGTCTCAGGTAAGGGGTGTCGGCATTTCAACAATATTGGACCATTCTCAAGAGATTTAGCAAGGTGAGGAAACTCTATAAATTGGATCCTCATGAATTTAGTAAAAGTGAAAGACTTTGATGTTTTGAAGTTTGTTCAATGGTGCATTTGAAATATTTGAATGATTGATATTTTGATTGAATAATGACGTGAGAAATGGATCCTATATGATGATCATTAATGATTGTTTCAATTGCTTGATCATGATAAGGGAACTCGAACACTTTCTAAAACCGAAATTGCACTAACAGAAGATTATGGTGACTGTCTTGTGGCCAGCCATTGGCATTATCCATTACAGCTTTCTGGAATCTAACAAAAGCATTACAGCCAAAGTTTACCTGTACTGGTTAATCAACAAAGTCCAATTCTGCTTCATAACAGTGTTTGACCATATGTCACCAGGATGACACTACAGAAGCTTGCCGACTTCAGATATAAGACTTTGCCACATCCACCATACATTCCCCTGATCTCTCACTTACTGACTACCACTTTTTCGAGCATCTTCATAATTTCTTTAAGCCAAAAGGACATCTGTCCTGGGTATGACAATAAACTACAGCAAGGCCTCTGATCAAGAGGCTTTGAGGAGTGTGGAACCACCTCTTAATTGCTGCTGTTCCCAGGTCCAACCTCACCCGGGGTGGTAGCACCTGTTAGGGTCCCAGCTATAGTTAACTCTGAAACTGAGGTAAAAAGCATTATGAAAGTGTAAAACTAGGTTTTAATACTATAAATATTTTGTAAAAAAATTATTACCAGGAATAAATTTTTGAAGAAAAACTATTACCAGCAATTTTTTTTTTTTTTTTTAAAAAAAAAAAAAAACAAATCAAAAATATTACCAGGAAAAAAAAGTTGCTGGCATTAAATGACCCATTAAGGATGATATGCCATAAAACAAACCAAACCAAACCTAAAAGACATTCCATTGCAAAGAAGATGCAGAAACTGTATTCAAAGATTTACTGGTGTTCAAATCTTTAGATTTTCATCAGAAAGATATAAATAAACTTGTAACTCAATGGCAGAAATGTATAGATCTTGAGGTTTCTTAATTTGACTGATTTAAACACTGTTTATACATTAATTCAGGAATAAGAGTGTGATTCTAAAATTGGACATTATTTTCCTAACAACCTAGTATAAACATTATACATACCATAAAGTTTGTGTGCACTCTAAAAACATTATAACCTTATTTGTATATGCAATAGAAATAATCTGTAAAAAATGTCATAAAGTTTAATGTACCTAGTTTTAAGTATAGCTAAAATAACTAATGCGATTTCAGGCATTACTGTAAATCAGTTGGCAAATGTTTTCTGTGAACTGCAAAATCGTATTACTATTTGTATTGCTAATGATGGAGGACATGTGGAAACTTAAATAAAATTTCAATAAAACCTTAAAAAACATAGATTTACTTTGTTTCTGATCCTTTTTACAAATTATTTCTATCGCAAATACAAATAAAGTTTTTTAAGTGCACACGAACTTTATGGACACCCTGTATTTAGTGGGGGGGGACATAGTTTTATGTAAACATAATTTAAGCAAATGAATGTTCTGAAAATCCTAACCAAAACTATTTTTCTTTCATTTTCTAACAATTTCAAAATTTCCTTTTTTAAATTATTTTCTTATGTTTATTTTTCTACCATTTCAAAGCATGAGTCTGTATTGGGGAGCTGCATTCTTAAATACCAACAATTGGTCAGACACAAAGAAATTATTACTTAATAATGTACATATTAATTTAATTTATTTACATTGTTCAGTCTGTTGTCCTCATCTTTATTGTCATGTCCATGGCATTTCAGTCATTTTATGCTCTGACCTTCATCAGGTGACTGAAATTTCAAACTGAACCCTGTATTTCGTCCACCAGAGTAGATTATTTTAGTTCCACATGCTATGCCTCTTTTGGATGTCTCAGTTATCTCCCTTTAACTTAGCACTCTAAGTCTTTTGTCCACCACTGTCATAGCCAGGTATTAAACTCGCAACACTTTGTGTAAAATCACTGGATGCAACCAACGCTTTTATCCACTGGGACATGGAACTAGAACAATCTACCCTGGTGGACGAAATAAAGAGTTCAGTTCAAAATTCCAATCACCTGAAGAAGGCCGGAGTGTACAATAGCTGAAACATGAACATGACAATACAGATGAGGACAACAGTCCAAACAATATAAATAATGTAAATTATTGCAATACCTGATCTCAGAAATATAGACAGATACCTATTTATGTCAGACAGAAAATGTATTTTATTTGTAAATTATTAAAAAAAAACAAAAAAAAAACTTAGGATGTATGCTTATAATCCTTAGACCCCCTGTCAAAAATAACAAAGGCAATAACTGCTTTGTACTGTTACTATTGATTAGTTAGAAAGGTAGGGGGAGTGTTCACCCCCCTTCTCTTTCTTATTGATAACTGAGGCAAAACAAGATCTTTTGTCAAGATATTTATCAATGAGACAAAGTGCAGGGGTGTGGGTTCATAACTTTCTCAAAGACTTTAGAGCAAAAAACAGAAATGGTTTCAACTGGAATTGAAACTTTGCTACCTTACTGTTTACTACTTTACACCTTTCTGCTCATACTGCTTACATACATTCATGACCACTGATAATCCCTTACTTCCTAATTTTCAATAAATTTCTATAATAAAATAATTATCAATATATTTATATTCTATATGTAATAGCTTTATTTTGTCAGTAATACTTGTCTTCATTCCTGACCACTGATAATCCCCTTGTTCTTGATTAAATTTGCTTAAATATATTTTAGGTAAAAAGTTGCAAATTTCATTGACTAATGCCAAATTAACTTTTTTTTTTTTTTTTTTTTTTTTAAGCTCATTACACTAGAAAATGAATTCCATTGAATTTGGGAGTGGAGGTGCAATGGCCAAGTGAGTGGTTGCAAATAATAAAATGGATGCATTTGGTATAAAAATACATCCATGATAATTACGTTTTTTTTTTTTTTCCTTACTACCTGTACAGCTGTCGAGGTTAATAATGGATGTAGCAGCTTTTTTACTACCAGTAAGAGTACAAAGGAAAAATAGCAGAATGGTTTGTCCAAGTGTTCACTAACCCACAATTTTCTCCCCTAAACATAGCTGCATGCCAGTAACAAGAAATTTGTATCGGGCAATAAATTAGAGCTCAGGGATAATTGGACTCATGACATTTATGATGATATTAGTGTGAAAATTAGGGAATAGAGGAAGAGATCAAAGATAGCTCCCGCAAAAATCATTAAATTGTGTGTATGTGACCCAGAGCTACCAAAATGGAATCTGTTTCCATAAGATCCTTCCATATTTTTTAAAATTGTGTTTTTACTTTTTATTTATTTTGTCTTGATAACAGCTTAGCCAAACCCAGAAGCATCATCGTAATAACCACCAACAGACACACTCCAATTCAATTGTACTTACACTCCAGGTGAGTTGTCTTTCCTTTGTTACATCTTAAAACTTTTTTTTTTTTTTTTTTTTTTTTGGAAATGATGCAATATATTTTATCTTCAATATTCTCTATAATATTGTGTAATCAAAAAATTTTGCTATAAGTTATTTTTAAAATGAATTGATTTATTTTTTCTTTGTTCTCCAGACATGTTTTCTTTTGATTTTTTTTTTTTTTTTTTTTTTTTTTTTTTTGTCAAGGATTATTTCTTTGGATTTCAATACTTTACAACCTAATATTTTCCAGATATTTTTCAATGTAAAATCATAAATTCAATAAAGCATTTGAAATCCTCAGATGATTATCACTTATGACCTGCACCTTAAAAGTAGAACAATCAAAATGTAACCAAGATGAAGATACTCATCATCATCATCATCCTTTTGTACTAACATAGATGTTCCCCCAGGACTCCATCCTTAATCCTGCTTGGTTTTAAAGCTTTATTAACGACCTTCCCGGTGACATCAGTTCTCAATTTGGTATCTATGCTGATGATGCTACCATTTACTCCTGAAGCAATAGTAAGACTAATCAGTCAGACAAGGTCAGAATGGCAGCTGATGTACAAAACAACATCAAGACTGTCGTTAACTGGGGTAAAAGATGGCTTGTCAATTTTAATGCCTCCAAAACTAAACTGCTCTTCATTAATCATCTAAGAGACCCCTCCCTGCATTTCATAAACATTGCTGATGCTGTCCTCCAAAAATGTGACTCATTGCACCTTCTTGGTCTAATGTTTTCATCTGATATGAGGTGGAAAGTCTACATTGAATTCATCGGCAGATCAGCAGCTAAGAAAGTCCGGTTAACTAAAGTCTTCAATTAATCCATGCTTAGAATATTGCTGCCATATATGGTTTGGTGCCCCTGCTATTTTCCTGGAGCTTCTTGATAAGATCCAAAGATGAATCAGCAATATTATTGGTCCTGATCTCATGGCCCAACTTCAGTCACTTCCCCACTGCTGTAAGGTTGCCTCTCTGTGCCATTTTTATAAATACTTTCATGGTAATTGTTAAGATGAGCTCTACACTATGGTACTTAGACTGTATTAATTTAAGCGCAATACTAAACTTGTGGTCTCATCAATTTATAGTTGAGCTAGCTTGATGTAGCCACAACTTCTATGCTAACTGTTTATTTTCTCGTTCTTCTCGCTTGTGGAACTACTTTCCAGCTCCCTGCTTTCTAACCAACTTTAATCTGCAAACATTTAAATGCAAAGTCAATCACTATCGACTGCCTTCCTGATTGCTCTTTTCTCATTACTAATGTTTCTAATTCCTCCACACCCTGTAACCTCTTGCGTGATAGTGGCTGCACTGCCTTGCTTGGGGTGATACCAATTAAAAAAAAAAAAAGAAAGATTAATGTATTAAGATTCTTTTAAATAGAACTTCTAACCTTATTTTATGGAAAGTTTTTTTTTCTTTTTTTCCTCTTATTATTATTTATATTAAGCATATATTTAAAATAAATTAGCAAAGTTTAACTTAGAAATATGCAAAAAAAAATGGTATATCAAAAGAAAATTTTTTTTCTTGACCCCACTATTTCAGTATATTCCTTCAGTAAATGAATAAATGGATAGGGCTTAACATTTTCACTGTCACTTGAGAAAAATGTACAAATTCAATTTCATATATTATAGTTTTATTTTAAAAGTAGCTTTTCAAAACAATAAAAATTACTTTTAGCACATTGTTTTTTTTCTTGCCTGGCCATGAGTTAAACTTTGCCTAATCTGTTTCAGCTTTTCTCAAGTTTTGAGAAGGAAGTATTTTTCTCTATTCCACACATCTTTCAAACTCTTGAAAGGAAGGTTCTTCCATTTTCTAAATAAATCAAATTTATTTAGAAACCACAAAAACTTTCTTCCCAACCAGTTTCTTCATTTTTATTGTTTTTACACATTTCAGTCAATGTATTCTTTAAAGTTCTTAAAATGACTTAAAAAAAAAAAAAAGAAACTTAATTGTATGAATAAAAAATTGTATGAAAATGCTCTCCAAAAAAGTGGTCTTAAAAATAAATTATCTTATCTAACCCCTATAAGTAACACAGAAATATCTAAAGTGAAATATAGACACAGAAAAAGAAAAACCATATGGTTCACGCACAAACTGTCAAATATTGACATCAGACAGTATTTTCTAAAGTTAATAAATGCTTTCAAAAACTAACCCTCTAATTAAGATCTTCAATAGGAAAACAATTAAGATTAGCTACTCCTGTACCATCAACATGCATAAAATTATTAACTCGCACAATAATAACCATATTGTAAGAAATTTCTATGGGACAAACAACAAACCTAGTATTGAACCCTCCTGTAATTATAGATCTAAAGAAAATTGTCCAGTTGAAAGAAACACATGAAGAAGGCTGATGAATAGATCAAAATGATGATGAATAAATACCTTGGCAGAAACTTTGTGTAAAATCAACAATGGATTGAATAAATTAGTATTTTGCTAGTTTGTTTTTTTTTTTTTTTTTTTTTTTTTGTAAGAATGGAGGACAGATACCTTTTCTTTCTTTCTTTCTTTCTTTCTTCTTTTTTTTTTTTTTTAATTCAATTGTGAATTCACTTTTTTTTTTTTTTTTTTTTTTTTTTTTAAATTTCAGTCACGATTGGTTACACTGTCAAATGATTTTAAAGTTGTTCTTCAAACTCATGCAGAGGTAAGAAGTCAATTGTCACCTTTTCTGTATAGAAATTTCAATTTCTTCTAATTTGGTATGTTTTTGTAAAGAATGTCAGTAGCAATCAATTGGGGAAAACAAAAGACATGATACATGCATAAATTGCTTCAAGGTATATACATGAAGATGAAGTTATAATGAAGATTTTTGAAATGAATCATTCCCAAGATTTTCTCCCCCTATCCTGACAATTTTTGTCTGGACAAACTCCATTGAAACCCATAGAGCTACACTTAGAATAAATGTTAAATGTCTAGTTTCTTTTTAATTTTATCTTTCCTACTTTAACCAATTCGTTCCAAGCAAGTTAATTTACAAGGCAACTTCTCCATCTCGTCAAAGAAACAGCCAGCAAGATTGGTCTCTATATTAATGCTGGAAAAACAGAATTTATCAGCTACAACCAAGAAAAAATTAAGTTGAAAAATGGCAATAACATCAAGTCTGTCCAGGAACTTGTTTACCTCATCAGCAGCATCCAGTCAATTGAGAGAGACCTCAAGATCCACAAAGACAAGGCTTGGGGGTGTCCTTAATGCTCTGAGCACCATCTGGAAGTCCTCCCTCTCTAACAATCTTAAGAGGGACTTCTTTAAGGCCATAGTAGAATCTGTCTTGCTCTACTGATGAGACACCAAGAAGCATCACTTGACGGAACTTACACAAGGATGTTATGAGTTGCATTGGACATCAGCTGGCAGAAACACCCAACAAAGAAATGCCTACATGGACACCTTCCTCCTATCTCAGTTTTGCTAAGAGAGAGAAGGCTTTGTGTAGCTGGTCACTCCTCGAGAAGTAAGTCAGAAATTGTGAGTGACGCCCTCCTATGGCAACCATTGCGCGGCAAAAGATCGGGTGGAAGACCTCATCACACCTACATTGACCAACTTGTAGATGCCATCTGGATGACCTGTCTGACAAAGATGGTTGGAAGAAATGAGTCAGGAGTATCCAAAATGAATTCTTGACCTGATGATGAAGTCGATAATGACACTAAGACATCAGGAGGTGCTACTGAAAGTCAAAGAGAATGAAGACTTTAGAAAGAACCAAAAACCCAATCCTAAACACAAAGCAAGAGATAAACCTCTATTCTTGTTCAAAAGACCTTGGAGGAGTGTGAACTGGTTATATATTTGCTATTTATTCAGTTGGTTTTCATTGTTCTGTGTTACCAAACTGGATAGTAAACCAAATAGTAATTGATTGGTGACAGATATAAAATCCCAGATTAAACAGACATGGAGAAGTTAGAGATGCTATGCCAATCCAAAATGACACGCGAGACTTTTTAGATTAAATAAAGCTTTAAAAATTTGATTTTTTTCATTCAACTCTTTCAAATATTTTATTTTTAAAAACATATTTCAGAAATTATAATTTAGATAACTTTCCTTGGATAACTAAGCAATTCAATTATAAAAAGCCATCAACATGATGATTCTTTACTTTATAAAGATCACAAAGACCAGATTAGAAAAGATTAACAAAGTTAGCTTTAAAGCTGAATTTACAGATTAGTTATCTCCAATAGGAAAGAACCACTAAGTTGGGCAAAATATAAGATATATGCATTGTAAATGTTATACAACCACACTTATTTAGTGTGCAGATGACATAGTGTTGATAGAAGACATAGAAAAGAAGCTATAGAAGGTAGTGAAGGGTTACATATGTGCACACAAACACACGGGTAACCAACTTTACAAACATTAATTTTCAAAGTTTTGATTGGAAACAGGCACACAAACTTTGAGCTTATATATTAGATCATATAATATGCTCATTTGTTCATGACAAGTGCAGAAAATCATATTGGTTATGTCAGTCACTTTGATATGTGGCCCCCTGCAGAAGCAAGAAAAAAACCCAACCCTATTAAACATTATAACCATTTGGGATTCACTGATTAAGTATATTTTGAAAAAAAAAATGTATTAGGCAAGGAAATGTGGATACTTTACAACAATGTGAATTGTAAGGAATTCATGAGACAAGCAAAATTAATCACCACTAACTGTAACTAAAGGTGCACTTCATCCAAAGAAGGTAGCACTTTGTATATGGTGCTATTAAAAGCAAATCCACTCACTATTATAAGTATTATCCAGAAAAGCAAATGTTTGATACAAACAAGCTTCTAATTCTAATTAAGCTTCTAATTGTGTTAATTAGACAAACTGAAATCGAAAATTGAATAATCATCTGGAATTAAGAGGAAGGACAGAATATTCCGTTAAGGTTAAGCTGAATGTTTGTTTAATAACCAGGAAACACTCTTCCGGTTTTATTGGGAACCTTTTGCTCATTGGCTGTATCTACCAAATATTGCACCTGTGGATTAGTATTTATTCTGGTCTTTACAGAATTATCTTAATGAAAATACATCAGATCCTTGGGAGATGGTAAAAGGCATCGAAAGTAGTTCTTTGCTGAGAAAGATTAAAATTATGAAGTTGCCAAAAAGAAGGCAGAAGATAAGTTTTATTTTTATTTTATTTTATTTTATTTTTTTTTTCTTAATACTAAATTTGACCAATATAAGGCTTGGAAGCCACTTAAGGTAGAGGGTTATAGTCAGAATGATAATGCTAAATAAGGTGTATAATATGGATGGAACAGAAGGTGGTCAGAAATGAAGATTATGATGAAAGATGTCAATTGACCCTTGAAGAGGTCAAGATTGAAATGCTCAGGGAAACATCTTTGTGTGACTTTATCCCACAAAATGACAGTTGTTAGGAAAAAAAATGGAACAAAATAGTAAATATATTGTTCAATAAATGTTGATGAAAGAAAAAAATTTTTTTGCTATTTCTGCTGTTTATACATATTTACAAAACTTACATTCTCTGCTGTCTATGCACACACACACACACACACACAAACACATATATGTGTATCTGTGCCTAATCTCGAATTGTTTATGTGGGTATGTTTGTGTGTACACCTGTATGTATGCGTAAGTGTCAACCCAAAACAGACACAGGGGAGGATTTCTCATCTCACCACCAAACATAATCAAGCTCAAGCATAGATTCAATTTTTAAAAAATAAACCAGTTTGTCTGATGATTGCAAAAGCATGAAACCCAGGGTCACAAACTCATATCCATACAAATGAATGAGATACACACACACACACAAATTAGAGAAAAAAACTGATGGAGTGAAAATCCATTGTTCATACCATTTACTTTTAAAAAAGTGCTCAATACAAAGTAGAGTAACTTATTATATTTTTTTATAAGAGATTATAATAAAAACATTTTGAAATCGATACACAAAGGCTTTCATGTTTCAATACTATGATTGTATTTGTTCAGGAGATTGAAACGTGAAAGCTTTTGTGTAGCAATTTCAAAATGTTTTTATTATAATCTTTTATAATAAAAATATACATACACATTTTCAAGACATCATGAAGCTTCAGTTTCTAGCATTTGCATTATAAACTAACAGTGCTATTTCCATCCAGTTTAGACATTTAGTAACCTACAATAGAAGCTGTTTTGTGATGGATTTTTTATTATGTTTTAAGGATAAGTTAAACACTAACTTACCTTGTACTGCAGAGTAAACAATCAAAACTGATGTGGTGGCACACATGAAAAAGTAATCTATTTAAAATGAATTGTAGCCTCCAACTATTGGAAAAAAAGAAAAGTATTTGTATATATATATATGTGTGTTAACTAAGCTGACTTTTGTAGTCCTACCTAGGATTGAACACGGCATCCTTGGCTAATAAATTTGAAGATATTAGACTTCCGTTAATGGATGTGGTCTAAGCAGTGGTAGTAGCAGTAGCTTCTCTCCCTTCCTGCCAAAGTGGATTTAAACTTTAGGCATTATTTAAGTTTACTGAAATTCTCCTCATGGGGAAAATATTCTATTGTTTGGTGAAGTGCTATCGCTCAGTTTATTGATCAAGATCCTGTTTTAACATCTGGTAGCAAAGTGTAGTTACAATCTATGGACCTCTGGCACACTTTCACTGCGCCCAGTTGGTATAAAATGACCCATCAGGGTTGGCATTTTGTTAAACAAAATCTAACCAAACCCATGAGAAATTACCATCAACATCTTTATACTCATTTCCAATAAATGGCAATTTCTTATTTTTCCAAAATGGGCCAGCACAGCCAGGCAGCAATACAGCAATAAAAGTTGTTAATAACCTGAACAAACTTTGCCAACTGAATAGTAACTGTGTCAGACATGAAGAGATTGCCTTTTTGAATTGTTCACACTGTGCATAAATTTCAACAGCGTATGTTTTCGTCTTTTTCTGAAAGTAATCCAAATAATTGTAAAATTTTTAGTTTTAATTTGACTTTTTTATTTTTTCCCATCAGAATTTGAAGCAACAAAATAAACAGCAAAGTCCCCAGTTGTACAGACGAACCGAAGCTTATCCAAGAAAGAGTAAGTATTTATGTGTATGTTTGTAAAAACTCAGATATTAATAAAATATATCTGTAAAATGTCAAGAAGACAAAAGGAAAACTTTTCTTTACCAGCACGTTTCAGCCCCTGAGGGACTTCATTAAGGTAAATGTAAGGATTTTACATTATTTACATTATTCGGACTGTTATCCTCATCTTCATTGCCATATTCACAACATTTCACCTGTTATACACTCTGACTTTCTTCAGGTGATTGGAATTTTGATCCAAACCCTTTATTTCGTTCACCGGGGTAGATTGTTCTAGTTCTATGTGCCATGCCTCTTCCAGATGTCTTAGAAACTTGAGGAATCAGCACATATGCTAGGCCACAAAAATCTCCTGAGCCAACCAAGCATAGAAATGAATACAATATGGGAACCAGTAATGAAGAGTGTTAGAGAAAAGCAATGAATAACAACAGTAAATTGCATTATAAGCTATGGTAAAAAAATGCAATAATAATAACAGAAAATATTGCAATATGGACACTGGTAAAAAATGGTCGCTGAGATTAGGTTTATAAGTCCCAAAAATTCACAAACAGATGTCCTCAAGCACACATGGCCCAGTGAATAAAGATGTTGGTTATATCCAGCTACTAGACCCAAAAGAGTTGTGAGTTCAATACCAAGCATGGAGAGTTGAGTTAAAGGGAAATAACTGAGACATCTGGAAGAGTCATGGTACATGGAACAAAATAAAGGGTTCGGTTCAAAATTTCAGTCACCTGCAGAAGGCCGGAGAGTATAATGGCTGAAACATTGTGAATATGGCAATGAAGATGAGGATAACAGTCCGAACAATGTAAGTAATCATAATAGATATAGAAAGGTAAGGATTCAAGTTTGCAAAATGTATTTATAAACAAAAATAAAAAAAAAAAACATTTAAGAATGCTTTAAAATATTCTTAAAGCTCAAGGTAAACTATGGTGGAAACTAAGTGATATAATCTAATGTCTAATAAATGAAAGTGAGCAAATGTTGTTAATGTATTTGTTTATTATTTTTAATCTAATTATTATTTATTATATTTTAATTTGATAATGTATTAATATATTTTAAAGAAGGTCTTTAATTATGTCTTGAGAAAGTATTATTTCCTTTAAGAAAGATTTTTCAAATATCTCCTTAAAAGAAAATAGACTCTAAAAGTTTAACTGACACGAAATAAATTTACCTCATATTAACAGAGAAATAAGCTTTATCATACAAGTAGCTGTTTACATAATCTATGATATCATAGGTAGGGTGGCTTCTCTCTGTCTTTTCTACAAATAATTTCACGGCAACTGCTCTGACAAGCTATTTTTACTGGTACCTAAACTGCAGGAATTTAAATATGCTGCTACATTGGCATCTCAGTCTCACCCTTTCACTGTCGAAATTGTTAAATGTAGCTATCTATTCTACTCCAATAGCTTCCTATCACGCACTTCCTGGCAGTGTAACTTCCTTCCTCTTGCTTCTCTTCCCTTTATCCTTTCCTCAAACACTTCACTCTTGCCTTGCTTGGGGTGATATGCTTAAAAAAAATATATTTTCAAAATTCATCAAATGTTTTTAAATTTGGCTTAGCCATTTTTTCAAATTTAATTGTAATTATAACGTTTTAATATAATACTCTGTTTATATAATTTCTTATATTTTCCTCTATCTATGGGTTAAATAACAAAGTAGACTGGGCTCTCAAATTATGACTGACAACTAGTCTAAAGGAGTACAACTTTCAATTCAAACATATATCAACCTCATTCAGTAACGTTCTACCTTGAGGGGTTCTTAGGCCTTATATTAGGTGAGCATTTAATTAAAAATAACAGCTTGAAGAATAGTGGGTTCTGTCAGATTGTCTTGCTTTAGATGCAACATGACTTTACTACTATTCTACCTCTTTTCTTTCTTCTATGTGCCATAACCCTTCAGGACATTGGTAATCCTGGCTGTGCAAAATTTCCTATCATTTGTAGCTCTTGATAAATTTTATTGTTTTGTTATTTCCCCTAAACCTTGATCTGCTATTCATTTACTCAAGCTTTCCAGGTAGGTTGCATTGTTTGCCTTTGTTCCTGTTGCCTTCAATCTGCTCTGTGAGTATCAAATTTTCCAAGCCCTCTTTCCTCATTATGTGACCTAGAAATTTCATCTGTCTCTTTCCTCATGTTAAGTATAAGTTTCCTTTTTAATTCCATTTTCTGTAAAACTTCATCGTTGCTCACATGTTCAGTCCATGAAATTCTTAGCATCCTTCCGTAGAACCACATTTCTGCTACTTTATTTACTTCTTCAGTTTTGAGGAGATTGTTCAACATTTACTTCCTTACAGGAGGACAGACATCGCATAAATATTCCATACTCTTTTCTTTGTTTCTGACAAATTTTTTCTAACATGTTTACATTTTGAGAAGTTTTCTCGCACCAGGCTGCCATTTCTTTTTGCAGTAAACTGGTTGGCAACCAAGGCTATAGAACCCAGTCTGTCCTCCTATTAAACCTACAGCTGGGGTGAGAATAGATGAATTCATAACTTTCTCAAGTCTGTGTGAAAGTGAATACATCGAGTCCGAATGGAATTTGAATTCAACTCTCCGATTTCTAATTCTGAACCACATTTCTCTTCTTTATCTGTGAGGAAATTGTCCAGCATTCACTGTCATATAAGAGGTCTGATATTATGTAATAGTTTGGTAATCTTTTCTTTGTTTCTAACAAAAATTTTTCTGTTTCTTAATACTTTGCTTAGCTTTTGGAAGGTATCTTTTGCTGTCCCAATATACCTTTGGATTTTGGTGTCACACTTGCCATCCTTTGTGAAAAACACTTCTCAGATATTTAAATTGTTGTACTTGATTTTGCTATCTCTCATTTGTAATTTGCAGGTTGGGCTGTCTCTTTTGCTAACAACCACACATTCTGTCTTCTTGCAATTGATATTTAGTCTTTTTCTTCTTGATTTCCTTCCCTGCCTTCTGTAGGCGTTTTTATATTTTTCTTTCTATTTCCACTATCAACACTGTGTCATCTGCATATCTTGTGTTTTTAAGATTGTGGCTGAAATAATATCTTGTGTTTTTAAGATTGTGGCTGAAATAATATCTTGTGTTTTTAAGATTGTGGCTGAAATAATATCTTGTGTTTTTAAGATTGTGGCTGAAATAATATCTTGTGTTTTTAAGATTGTGGCTGAAATAATATCTTGTGTTTTTAAGATTGTGGCTGAAATAATATCTTGTGTTTTTAAGATTGTGGCTGAAATAATATCTTGTGTTTTTTTGTGGCTGAAATAATATCTTGTGTTTTTAAGATTGTGGCTGAAATAATATCTTGTGTTTTTTTAAGATTGTGGCTGAAATAATATCTTGTGTTTTTTAAGATTGTGGCTGAAATAATATCTTGTGTTTTTAAGATTGTGGCTGAAATAATATCTTGTGTTTTAAGATTGTGGCTGAAATAATATCTTGTGTTTTTAAGATTGTGGCTGAAATAATATCTTGTGTTTTTTAAGATTGTGGCTGAAATAATATCTTGTGTTTTTAAGATTGTGGCTGAAATAATATCTTGTGTTTTTAAGATTGTGGCTGAAATAATATCTTGTGTTTTTAAGATTGTGGCTGAAATAATATATCCTGGTAGGATTTCTAATTGTCTCAGAATCACCCCAGAATAGAAATATTAAACGATTTTTTTTTTTTTTTTTTAAATTTGTTTCCACATTCAATCTGTATTATTTACACTATTTACATGCAGACTATTATCCTTGTCTTTGTTTTTGTTCTCACAATGTTTCAGCCATAGTACTCTCCATCCTTAATCATGTATATGTCAATCCAGTTAACCAATCCCGAACTGAACCCTTTAATTTTTTATTTAATTTACGGGGGTGAATTGTTCTTGCTATACTGCCCATGTCTCAGGGTATCTTGTCTAATTCTTATTTTTAGTACTGCTCTGTTATTGCTTGCCCTGTTTCCACTGGGTTCAAGTACACATTGTCCAGCCCAGGGATTGAACTCACCATTACTTTGTCACCTAAATTTACAAACCAAAACTTTAATCCATAGATTGAAAAAAGGTTTAGTTCCAAATTCCTTGAAGGCTACCCAGAGCAACATAAACCTGATGAAGGCTGGAAAGCACAATGACTAAAACATTGTGATAACAACAAAGATGATGGCAATAGTTTGCATGTAAAGAGTGTGTCAATACTGATAACTTCTCATCCCAGAAATTCAATCTGCATGTTCAACATGGAAAAGCATTATTGACTGATCAGGGCTGTTTTATTAAAAAAACAAAAACCAATTTTACTGACTAACAGTAATTAATTTTCTTTCATGTTTTCAGATTTCTACGTACAAGATGACCAACAAGAACTTGTCATCAATATGGATTCTTCAGAGCCTCGAAAACAACAAAATCAGGTGTTACTTGAAGAACAGGTATGTCTAAAGGTTCATTTACTATCATTTAAAAATTGTCCAATCCTTTTACATCATAATGGAATGCCAGAGAAGGAGGAAATTTTTTTTTTTTTTTTTTTTTTGTAACCCCCCCCCCCATTATTTGGTATAATAATAATAAAAGCTATAAATATGAGATTTTGTTAGGCATGTTACTGGCATATAAATGCTTCAGAAAACAACTTAGCCAATCTTATATTCTCTGGTAAGGGATATCAGCTGCTTTATTCATTGTCATTAATGACAAATAAGAACTGATATGTTCTTCAAACTTTAATCTCAGATGGAATAAAAATCTCTCTTCAGACAAAATATATCAATGTTGTTTTTCTTAGTCTAAATTCCTTTTCTTTCCTTTATGCTTACGCCATTTTGATATCTCCTCTTGTGTTTGCATGAGAGAACCAACCCACCCGCAAGAACAAAATCTAAAGTACCACATTCCATCCTCAAAACATTCAGTTGGTTGCTTGCCTTCAGTAACACTGATGGGAGGATATATTTTGCATGGATGATTTTTGTTACCTTCACTCCAACCACCAATTCGCTTTCTGGTCAAATAAAGCTTTCAAGCAAAATCATGAAATATTTTTTTTTTATTTACATTATTTTCATTTTTCGGAGTGTTGACCTCATCTTTATAGCCATATTCACAATGTTTCAGCCATTGGATGCTCCGGCTTTCTTCAGATGACTGGAATTTCAAATTGAACCCTTTATTTTGTCCACCGGGGTAGATTGTTCTAATTCCACTTGCCATGCCTCTTTTGGGTATCTCGGTTATCTCCATTCAACTCAACTCTCAAATTTTTTCTTGATCACTGCCATAGCCAGGTATTGAACTCACAACACTTTTATCTACTGGGCCATGTGCCCTTTGGAAATCTCAGAAATATAGACTGATTTTTGTTTTTTTGTTTTTTTTCTTCTATTACAGAGGTCTCATTATCAAGAACGAGCGGACACGATGCAAAGCATTGAGACAACAATTGTAGAACTTGGGTCTGTCTTCCAACGGCTGGCAACAATAGTGAAAGAACAGGAGGAACAGGTTCACAGGTCAGTTGCCATTAATGAGTCTGGTTCAAGGCCTCTAATAGAGAGCACTCAATGAAGATTAGACTCTTTAATCTAGCACATTGCTCAAGTAGTGGAGCTCGTTAATTCTTCTATCATAGAAACTCCTAAGTGTCATTGTAGATAGATTAAAGTTTAAATATAAGCTCACAGAAGTAGAGTTTACAATGAAATATGAACTGATAACACTATCCATGGTCAGTGAGATGTGTTTTATCAATCATTACTATCTATGTTCCACTAGTTCAGACCTTTACAGCTAAAACACATCATGCAATGTACACAAGAACAAATAATCATCATTGATAAGAAGGTATTTCCAATCTTCCCCAGAACTGTTAGTTTGTGGAACAAACTCCCAAAAAGCTGTTTCTCCAATCACTGTAGTCTTAAGATCTTCAAGTTTAAGGTTCATTATCTGTCTATCATCATCTTATTTCTCCACAAAATCCTTACTCTGTGCCACTCTACTCCAGATTTTCAATCTGGATAGGAATGACTGCAAAATATTTGCATCTCCCATTTTATAGGCAGAAGTCCACAAATGCATGCTGGGATATTTTTCTTAGCCAATAAAATAACCTGGTTTCCAGTTTGACTTACCTCAGTTTACTGCTCTATGGTAAACAGCCTTCTGATTTTTCTGTTTTTTTTTTTTCTTTCTTTTCAGGATAGATTCTAACATAAATGACGCTGATCTGAACATAGAAGCTGCACACAGTGAACTATTGAAATATTTTCAATACGTCTCGTCCAATCGTTGGCTATTAATCAAGATCTTTATTGTTCTCATCATCTTCTTTATTGTTTTTATTAAATTTTTAGCCTAAAAAGTTTTGTAAAAACCAATCAAATCCAATTAATAAAATGATTTCTAAATACCATCTCATGTTTTCATTTTTTGCCTACAATTTTATTTTTTAATTTAAAATTTTTTTAATATTTAATTTTTTTTTTTTTTTTTTTTTAATTTTAATCCCATAATCCATTCATTATTGAGTCATCGCAGTACTGCATCTACAGCAACTGAGTGTCTTAATCAAGGTAAGCAGACAGACTTTTCTAAGCTGATTTTCAATAAAAAAAAAAAGTTGTCCTTCATGTAGATAGTCCTGTCAAGGCTAAAATCGCAGTCAACCCTACTATTTCACTCTTAGCTACAAGAGATGGATTCATGCATTGCCCAATTGCATTAGAGTGACATTTGAACATGACTTGCCAATTCTGTTTTCCACATCTCTTCTGACATTTTAAAATTTTTTGATAAATCCTGTTATCTCCAGTTTGTCTCAAGTGTATAAGTAGTGGTGAGGCTATTTGGCAATTTATTCCAACCAGCATTCTTGTTTCTTCTGTAAGGGAGAAAGAACGGCAACCATTTGAAATGTAATGACGAAGAAAACATCTTGGCTGAGGACATTTGAGAGAATAACTTGACAGAATTTCTGAAACTAGAAACATAGACGCACACATTCATTGACATTTGTCAAATCCAGATATCTGTCCATTTCACAGAATCACAAAGTGAAGCCTTTAGATGTACCCTATTTATATGACTCTATGCTTCAAGATCTTTTACAGATTCTAAAACTGCAGTACATGCTTTTTACTGGGACTATGCTGACTTGACTCCTAGACTCTTGTTAGTGATTAACCAATTAGTATCTACTCCTAACCCCTAAAATGGGACCATGAGCATTAATGGCCGCAATTCATTCACATCCCTTTCCCATTCGATTGGTAAGAATGAAGTCCCACTTTTTGAGAGCTGCTAATTCCTGAGAGGATGCTTCCTTGCATTATTATAATCTTAATCTCTTCAAGTCTAGTGTCAACTGTTATCAGTCCTACATATCCATATCATCTGCATTTACTTCCATCTCCAACAGATATATAATAACCTTATTGAGTAACCACCCTATCTTGAGTGGCTCTTGGGCCTTGTTTTGGGTGAACATTTAATTTAAAAAAAAAAAGAATCCATTTCTCCCTACTCCTATCACTGAATAAATACTAGGTTAGGTTGGTTAGGCAGTGTTCAACTTGGTAATAGTAACCATTTCCTTAGAAGGATACATTTTGCATTCATTGACCAAAGAACTAGTGCTACTTACAGTTGAAATTTATAAGATCTTTCTATCAAAGCAGTTTTTCAAGAAAATAGGTTTCTCAAGTTCACTGTGATAGCTCTTTTCTTGATTGATGGGGGCTTTTCATCTAACCTTTTATTTGAACATCAGCCTCTTGGTTATGTCACTAATCTCTCATCAATTACTTGCTATCCATTTTAGTTGTTGCTTCTGTTGAAAGTCCTCAACTGATGTGGTTTCTGTTATCTGATAGTCCTTTGTTTTTGATTGTGTAGTGCCAGTTCACAAGTTTTGAAGAAGTATGGTCCTCACTAAGACCTACAGGATTCATTCATTCATTCAAAGCCATTTTTAATCATTGATCTGAGAAAGCAGTTGTATACAGCTGACAGTTATTTCTAAATGGGTTTGGCATTATGCATGACATCCAGAACATGACCCAAATTTTCATATATGGTTTTGGGTGAAACTAACCCTAGCTCAGTTTATTTTAGGTCCAATTTCCTTATCACCTCTACTAAATTTGTTATCCATTTGCCAAATACAACTGGATTCATACGCTGAGGTATTTGAAGGGTTTAGTATATATTCAACATATATGAATTTTTATGGATCCAGGGTCGGTGCCGTCACTTTCATTCCAATTCCAGATTGTAGTTTCTCTTTTGGTAAGGTTTATCTTGAGTTCTGTTTCTTGGAACACTTGATAGGTGTTAATTTTTTTTTTCTCAAGATCATTCATGTTCCAACTCTGAATCCTTATGTCATTGACATAGACACCCCTCCCCACCCCCACTCTCTCATCATCAGTACATTGTCCTCAGAAGGGAAAACAAGAATGATTTTTTTTTTCTATTAGTAGAATAGTTTGGGGTGTGGTATATAATGCTTAAATGATCAACGCCCATCTCTTCATACCTGTGCTTGTAGTTGTGCAGGGCATAGCATAGGAAATGATTAAATAGAATGGTGATCTCAACTTCCTCCTTGCCATATTCCTGATACAGTTTGGAATATTTCAGCATTAGGGTTTTCACCAGAGATGTACAACTTTGTGGACCAATTTAGTTCCTCTATTAGATCGAGGCAATCAGTGAAATCAAAGCCTAGAAGATAGTTTTTCATGAATGAAAAAAGGAAGTCACTATCGATGTGGTTATATTCTGTTCTGAGGTTAACATAGTAGGTATACAATTATTTTATTGAAGCAGTATTTCTCTGAGTTGTTTGATGATTGAGATATATATATATATATATATATATATGCGCCATCATTACACACTTTACCAGAATGAAAATGCAAATTGGATTCTTAGGAGTTGACTTGCATGGAACAGGGAGAGCCAAGTGAATGTAATGTTCATTAGTACATTCCCTATAATGGATCCAATTGAGATATCTGCATGTGTGTCTTAAGAACTCACTTTTTGTTTCCATAATGCATTAAAGCGTTGATATACATCACATTTTTGGTATGCGTTTCTGATTCCAGACTTTTTTCATGAAATTTAGAAAGTTGTTTTTAAATTCTGGGAGAGGATATGATATTTCCAAAAGTTCAGCCTTAAACCATTACTTGATATCGATATCAAGTAATGGTTTAATATTTATTATTTTATTTATAGCATTCTTTACTTCCTTGTCATTAACTTCTTGCTGTTTATGTTTGGAGACAAGATTTTGCAAAAGACTTAGATATCTGTCTATATTTCTGAGATGAAGTATTATGTACGCTATTTACATTATTCGAACTATTGTCCCCATCTTTGTCGTCATATTTATTACAATGTTTCGGCCCTTCAGTATTATGTACATTATTTACATAATTCGGACTATTGTCCTCATCTTTGTTGCCATATTTATTACGTTTCGGCATTTCAGTATCTGTCTTTATTTCTGAGATGAGGTATTATGTACACTATTTACATTATTCAGATTATTGTCCTCATCTTTGTCACTATGTTTATGACAACGTTTCGGCTGTTGTATGCTCTGGCCTTCTTCAGGTGTATTGCTTGCATGAGAAAAGGCCCTGTGATGAAAGATGATGAACCAATTAGGGCCTCTTGGAGTTGCCCCAAAAGAAGCAAAAGGCTAATAGGCCAATAGTTTGGGTGGGTCAGATGGTTCACCAGAGTTCTTATAAACTGGAAAATGCAGGAGGCTGCGAGGCATTTATTATAAAGTTTAGAGAGAACAGGAGCTAATGCAGGAGCATACTTCTTAATAACTATTACAGGGATGCCATCGGGTCCACATGCTGGGATCAAGGTTAGAGATGATAGCATAAGCCATGGAAGGGGTCATATGCATATCACTCAACAGAGAATAATTTCTAAGTGGGAAGTTAGGCAGGGATACCCCAGGTGAATCAAGAGTAGAGTTTGAGGGGAATTTATGAGCAAAGCATTCAACTTTATCAGCAGAGAATGACAACACCTCAAATCAATTGAAGAGAGGGGGAAAGAGCCCTTGTATTTATTTAGTATCCTATTACGGAGATGTCAGTAGTCACGAGAGCCAAAGTTTTTTAGAGGCTATGCGGTGCCTCATTCTCTCAGCAAACAGGGACTAGCAAATAGATACCTGTTATGACGAGAGCTGTTCCGCTGGTATAGTCGGAAATAGCGTTTCCTGGTGATATGGCGTCCGACCATGCTGGTGTGAACCATGGAATGGATTGTGGTTTCACCTGATATTTTCGAGAAGAGATGAAAACGTCTATTCTGGCTTTGACCAAAGAAGAAACTTCAGTGGCACGATTTTCAATTGGGATGTCAGTCCAAGAGGCATCACTAAGAAAATCTCGGGATGAGTCTCAATCAGCATGCTGGTAACGGAAAGATGTCTTATGGATAGGGGGCTCCTGTTTAATGGATGCTTGGATGGAGATATCAATAGCTACCACAGTGGTCCGGGTTACTAAGAGGGCAGTATTGGGGAGAGGCAGTAAGAAATAGATCCAATAGAAACGCATGTTGCTCAGTTTGGCTTAGGAAACGAGAAGGGAATTCAACGATTTGAGTGAGGAATTGGACAATGGAAAAATTTAATGTCTGTGTACCGGCAACATCAGTACCTTTGGAATGTTTCAGTTACGTGTCATGGTGAGCATTAAAGTCACTGAAGACAAAGATGTTCGCAGATGGATGGAGAGAAAGTATCTTTTCTATAATATCAGTTATTGCATCTAATATACTGTAGCCTTGGGGAGCGATAAAGGAAAAAGAGATAGCTGACAGAATTTAGTAGCGAAAGACGGAAACACAAGAAAGAGTAGTCAATAGCCTCGAGAGACAATTCCCTGGCCAAGGAAATATTATCCCGGATATAATCACCAAGGCCATGCATATGAATGCTGAAATCTTTTCGGCAAAGGGGAAGATAGCCTGGAACCAAGAATTCATTGGTAGTAATAGAAGAATTTCTAGTATATCAATTTAATTTACTAACTTGTCCATTTACAGCAAATGTCGAAGATGATCTTACACTAGAGTTGATAGTCGTTCAGATTAATAATACCATAACACCGTTGTTAATAATCAGTTCTTTGAAGCCCCTGAAATCAATGCAGGCATCCCCCAAGTTTCTCATCAGGCCTACCCTCTTTCTGTTTTTATATTAATGATATGCTTAAAAACATCCTCAGATCATTAGTTAATATCTATGATGATGACCCTTTTTATGGGAGCTCCTCCAAAAATCTAGATGATCAAAACCTGGCAACTGATCTATCGTCT